GTAAAATATGTTTTGCTGTCACTTTGATTGGGTAGGGAGGCAGAAAACAAAAGCGCTGAAGGCTCCCTGAGAGGTATGGGGAGACGGCCATCTTTGGTTCTGTGCCTCCATAGTTTTGTACAGGTTATTTATAGTAGTATTATAATAGCCATATGAATTCATTTTTCTGATTTTAAATAACATTTTTAAAAAGTATTTTTTTTTAAAAATATAATTTCTTTTATTATTTTGTGCTGAATTTTTTAAGATGTGCCATATTCGCTTCTGAGCTTTTTTCCACATTTTTTTTTGACCTCACCTTGTCATACTTTTCTAATCTAATATTTATATTAAATGTATAAATATTTTAATAATTCAATATCTTATCACAATGAGGACAAAATTTTGTTAAGGGCTGGTATACCAAAATGGGATTATTTTTTTAATAGTAAGAAACTTGTTACAGGAATAAATTCTTGTGTAAATTTAATGCCATGTGTAAAACATCTATATTTTGAAATACTGTATATGAACCATTAAAAAAAATTAAATGTATTTTTTTGTAGATGGAGGGTATGTATCATTAACTTTTCAATGCTTTATTGTTAAAAAAAAGAGCAAAAAAAGGAAAGAAAGTAAAGATTTTTCTTCATGTTATAATTACACTATGTTGCAGATGATATATTATAAATATATGAACACAAACATTTCCCCATCATTTTCTTTGTTTTTTATAGTTTTATTTGTTACATTTTCCCAACTCAGCACATATTTTCCCTATGACAAATTAATTTTTTTTTTTTTTTTTTACTGAAATACTTAAAGTTGGATACTAAAACTAAAGTTAAGATTTAATTTATGAGTGAGGGAAAAATGTGTATTGCATTTACCTTTACTAACATTAAGTTTTACAAATGACTTGATAAAAGTGCATGACACACCTGTTTTGGGCTCACTATTAATTATATACACACACAATGTAATTGTAAAATAAGTTGTTGTTTTTTAATTTGTCACCTTAAAATTGTAATTTCTCAAAATGATTTGTATATATTTTAATAATTGCTTTTATATTAGAGCTGTTAAAAAACAGGGATTTTTACATTCTGCTGACTGCAAATGGCCAGCTACAAATACTATGCATGCTAAAAAAGTAAAGCCTTATTGATGACTCATACTCTTAAATGTAAAGAAGTAGGTGGAGACAAAACAAAGCAAGATATGTTGTTGTTTTTATTTTTTATAATAGTCATCAGGAAAAGGGGAGATACAGTCAGAATGTACTCAAACATAATTAACCAAAATTTGTAAAGAATTAAAAAAAGTACAAATTTGTTTAAATGTTTAAAAATGGATATTCAAATAATATTATACACTACTTGCCAATATATTTTCTTACTTCGTTGTTTTTGTGTGTGTACAAAGTGCAACGTAGCTTTTAATTCTGTCATATATTTATATACTAATTGTAACAATTAAATAAAGTAATAATCAAGTAGAGTCAAAAATTCATTCAAAATTTAATTTACAGAATTTTGAACTTAACATTGTGTTCTGGGTACATTATTGAGGTAGAGTAGAAAACAGTGGACTTATACTATTAAGAATTTTACAAAACCTGTGAGGCTGAATAAATTAGCTGCTCATATTTTACCTGTTAAGTGTGAAACTGAATCGAAGGATTTTAGTGTTGTTTAAATTACACTTTAAACATTGTCACACTGTAAATTATATGTATTGATGAGAATTCAAGTGGAATCCATCAGATCAAATGATGATGTTGGAATTTAGAAACTGCTACATGTTTAAAAAAAAAATAAAAGCCTACTGTACTATAATAGGAAAGTGAACTTTGTTTCGCGCCAGGATTCCAATCGGTACAAACTAAACCCACATGTTTCTTTCATTGTGTTGGACACAGAGTTTTTGTCTTAAAGATATTTGATTAAAGTCTTCATGAATTATTCAGACCTAGTGAAAATTATTTATGTATTCATAGTCATTCCATTTATTCATGTAATCATAGTCATTCCACTTAAGTATTTGAACACCAAAATACTGGGGAAACACCCCCGCCCCCCACACACACACACACACACTTCCCAAGAAGAAGTGAAAAAAAAGATTTGGAATGGCAATGAAATTAACATGTATCAAAGCAAACCTCATTTGCTATATTTTTCTGCTTCATGCTTCTGTTTGTGGTAGTGGCATAGGAAGGGGGATGCTGGGAAAGGGGGGGGGTGGTTCACACTCTAAAATTTATAATAAGATGCAGCATTTTCATACAACTGCAGAGGTTTTGTTTTTGTGATGTGGGGAGGGAAATATCTTGGCGGCACTAACCCTGGCTACGCCACTGTGCCATGTTATCATACTCACTGGCTGTGTTGATTGATAAGTGTACAATTTTTACAATGTTTCCTGCCATTTTCCGCTTTAAAAAAAAAAAAAAAAAAATTTTGTCTTCCTCAACTATTAAAAACAATTTATGAACTTGCAAGAAAGAAAGAAAATTGCAACAACTTTATTTGGCATTGATTTTTTTTCTCATGCCTTATGAAATTATTTTTCCCTTTCTTAACTTGAAATGTCTGGCTCAAATGTAACTCAGCAGCTAGAAAAATAAAAGCCATAAAAATGTCACAAATTTTACTAAGATATTTATGACTGAAATTATTCTAAGAAAAGAGCTTTGAAATGTAAACATAGATTGTATGAAATTATATAAAACATAATCAGGAAATTTAATCCTGAAATAAATAAAAAAAAAAAATTTTAAATTCCCCTCTTGCTATTTATCAACACTCTTCTCCTAATCTGCTTTATTTACTGATGTTTGTGGTTTTGTTGAAAAAACATCAATTTTTTCAATTGATGTCTTTGCTGCTGTGGTTATTGAAGGTCATAATTTAAATGTATATAGATAGTCGATTTATCTTGTGTGAATTTTTTGAAGAATGTATAACTTTTTTTTTACAGCACCATGGCAAGGAAACTTGCCGTCTGTGCTGGAAATTTGAGCAACATGTAATAGTATAGTGTTAAAGGATACCTTCTTGGATTGGTTAATTTGTGGCAATGGTACATTTCGTTGGTGGCACCGCTCACTTACCCCTAGTGCTGACTAACGATGATATCTTTTCCTGTTTTAACTTAAGTTAGGCTCAGAGTCTAAAACTTTTTTTAGCATGATCTTTAAATATTTAAAATATACAACTTCAACATTATTTTGTTTTAAATCTTAAGGAAAATTACAACAGATTACATTTTTCGTCCAGCTTCTGCATTTCAATTGATGCACTGATGCACAAGCCATATGCCAGGCATTGAAGTCATGTGCTTCTAACCATTTAAAAGTTTTAAGACTCTGATGCACTGCCATTATAAATGCTTATTTTTTATGTTATACTTTTACTCTTTGTAGACTGAAGCACTTTCAATTCAAATAATCCTATTTTTCACAGGAGCAAGTTCTGTTTTGTGAATATGTTTAAATAGAATGTTAAGACGCTCTTTGCTTTCAATGAAATGAGACTTATTAAGTAAGATCCGCTGAATTTGTTAGCTATCTATAGTAGAGTATCTGAATTTGCTAACTACCTAAGTCCCTTGTTATAACTGCAGCCTGCTGTCTTGAAATATTTTTTTAAAGATTTCTAATACTTCTGCTTCACTTAATTGAACAACTTTGTTCATTTCAATACAAAAGTCAATTTATTTTTAATCATTGGCATGTATAGTAAATTTAGTATTATATATGTTTTTTTTTGAGTGTGCCTCATTTGGACAAAATTTTAAAACAAAATTTTAGATGCTACGTTTTTCTTTGTTATTGAAAAAGATTTTTAAAATGTACCATTACAAAAATCATATTTGTCGGATAGCTGTTAGTGGTGAATTTTATATTAACTTGAATACTATCATAGATAAACGTTCAGACTTAGTTTAACTGTTGAATAAAAATTTTTATTAGTGTTTTAAAGTGTAATCTTAAATCAGAAGTCTAATAAAAAAAAATACCTTTTAAAATTTTGTGTTAATGTTTTCTTTTTTTTTTTTTAAATTGTAGAAACAGTTATCATATTCAAATTATTTATGTATCATTAATATAGACTACAAAGTAGAAAGCCAATTAACAGCTTATTGTAGAAACATATCAGCGGAGTAAAATTTACTTTATTTTGGGCAGAATCTTTTTTTTATCACAGGAGATAGATAAATCTGACCGTCTATCTCTGTCAAGTTGCCATAGATATTAGAATTACAGGTCACATGATTTTGTGTTTACATTCAATATCATTTAAAAAAATGAAATGCCTCAAGTGAAAAACTTATGTTCTTGAACTTTTTAATAAAAATTTGTATGTGAGAGAGAGGATTGTTGCCCTGCATTTAAGACAGAAGAGGGTTGTTGCCCTGTATCTCTGATGGGACATTTTGTGAGAATGGCAGGCCACCGCTTGCCCAAAAGAATATTTATTGGCCAACTCAAACGGAGAAAACAAATGTTTTAAAGACACCCTGAAAGCATTCCTCATAAACCCAGACATGTGGGAACAGTTCACAAAGGATATAGGTACACAAAGGCTGCTCGCAACATGTAGCAAAAAGGACAGCTTCTGCAAAGAGCCTTTGCTGTGTATCTATGACAGATCGCTATTGCCCTGTATCTATGTCAGAGTTGTTGCCCTGCAACTAGACTAAGATAGTGTTGCCCTGTATCTGTGACAGATCGCTGTTGGGCTGCATCTATGACAGAGATAGCTGTTGCACTGTTAGCTATACATTTAATATCTTTGCTTAACAATTTTAATACACAATGTGTAATCTAATTTTATATTAATTCAAAGGAAACTTAGTTCTTGTTCCTACTTACACTTACATCAACGGCTCTTTCATTTTAATCCTATTAATTTATTAACCTATAAAATTATACCTGCAGTGGTTCTCAAGACGAAAGAGCAAGATCTAGCCATGAATATCTGAATAGATGCATCTAACTTATCTTAAGGAGTAATAGTTAAAGAAGAAAAATTCAGACAGTGACATTTTTTAAAAAACATAATTTTTTTTTTTATTTTGAATATCTAAAAGAAAGATCTTTGAACTATCTTGCATGATGTGCTAAGAGTAGTCGTCATTGTCATCTGGCTGTTGCTGCTGCTGTTGTTGCTGCTGCTGCTGTTGTAATGCTTGCTGCATTTGCATCCACTGTTGCTGATCAAGTAGAGCTTGTTCTTGTCTAGCCTACAAGAGTGAAGAGTGAAAGATTGGAGACATTGCTATTCGTGATGGTAACATCTGTATCAATTGTTTATCCCACAATGAGACCTGGGGCTGACAATACATTTTTGTTACCCATAAAACTGTCTGAAAAGAGGATTAAAGGACTTATGGAGATAATAAATTTTGTCTTGCAGAGAAGGAGGTGATGTGAACAAAAGGAATTAGCATGGATACAAGTGTAATAAGGTTAAGTGTGGCTTACAGTGTAGGTTTCTAAAAAAATTACCAGTATTTAGGAATTGATCTATTTCCTTGATCTCCTTATTTACCTTTTCAAAAAGTTCTTGCTGTTGCCTAAGAAGCTCTTCTTCTGGTATGCCAAGATTTTCTAGACGGGAACTTCCTCTTCGTTTCTTTGCTGCTATTGCTTTGGCCTCTTTGAGGACAGCTTTAGCCTCATTTTTGTATGCTCCAAAACCAAGACTTTCAAGAGCTGCCATAAACAAAATTATTGTAAATAGTTTGTGTGTTAGGTAGGAGGGATAACATAAAATATACCTTTGTTAATACTGAGTTTCTTTGAAAATAATCCATACACTGAAAATAAGCCCTACAATGTTTTTTTTTTTTAGGATGCTTATATATAATATAAGCCATACCCAAAAATAATTTCTAGTTAAAGATTGTCAGTCAGAAATAAAATCTAGCCTGTATTTAACAGAAGTCAGACTCAATGCTGAAATGTCCAGTGAGAGCACAGACACAGGTTGAAGAATTATGACAATGTTCCAAAAGTTGATGACATCACTGTACTGTATTTGATAAATATAGATTTCTGCACATAAAAAAAATATGACGTCCACTGAAAATCATCCCTAATGCGTTATAGTGCAAAAATTAATATAAGACCCTGATTTATTTTCTGAAAAACACTGTAGTAATTTGTTTACTACAAAAATAAGTACTGCACCTTCCACAATGTGATCTGGCGATATAGTCTTTTTGTTCTGCTTTACACAAATTTCATTTGCCTCTGAAGAAACAAGATGGATAAATTCAGTACAACAGTTTAGTATCAGCTCTCGTGCATCATTAGCAACTCGAATATTTGGAAGCAATTCTTTTATCATTTTATTGAGTGCAGCTCGAGGAATGCTCAGGTCATCATCAGGCTGTTGCTGGTCTCTGTTTTCTCTGCTATCTGTCATCTGATAACAGAAATTAATATTTAAGGGACGTTTTAAAAATACTGATTCAGGGGTATTTTTCAAATTCAAATGGTTTGCTACTGGTTATTTAAGTTAAGGTTCAAAATGCTTTTTTTAAATAAGATTATAATAATGAAAATGGAATTACGTTATCTCTAATTTTAAATACTAGAATGTTAACAATTTACCTGTTACATTATTAAAAATCAATTTGAGATTTTTTCAAAAGATCCTAAATTTTAGGCCTTACATGGCGAAGGTAAAATATCAACAATCTGCAATCCAATAATTTATCATCAATGTAGAGTGAGAAGACTAAATAGTTTTACTTAATATTTTTGTTTAGAGGCCACTTTGAATGTGACCCCAGTTGGCTTTTCATTTCCTATGCTCCTATGGCCTATGGCATGAGAAAACATAGGCAATACATTTACGCATGGGGTTATGTTTTGTCTTAAGTAAATTGAAATCGTAAGTAAGTAAAATTTAAAAAGTAGCCTAGTAAGTAATTGAATTTATTTTATTATCCTGGTCCTATAAAGACTGTTACCTTTATTTTAGATAAACTTCTTATAAAATTAAGAGTGAAAAAAAAGGTCGAAGGCTAAGTGAGTACATCACTGACTATAGTTACTTTTTCATTTTTAATCACAATGTGACTGCACTACTTCATCTCCTGGTCTGTGTGGATGACTTGGAAGAGTAAGTTACTTTCTTAATTCAAATTCAGTACCCAAGCCCAATACCAATAATAATAGTAGTATTAGTAATAGCCTAATCATTAGTAATCCTACTTCCGCCAACAACAATGGATATTTCTTGAGTTGTTTACTGTGCTCTGTTCCTTGTGATATTTTCATTTGTCATGTGCACTGAAGAAGGCTCTATGCCGAAACGTTCAAATCTTATTGAAATGTCCTGTCCTTTAATTAAAGTAAAGCTTCAACATACCCCGTTTTGCTATTTCATTGTCATTAGTCTAAATCATTAGTAGTAGGCATTAAGGCCTAGACTTTGAGTACTTTGACTAATTAAATAGTAAAAAATTTGTACATTGGCCTACCGTTTACTAATTAATTAGCCTACTTCTTTAAAATTAAAGTTTACACTTCACCACTTGTGACTGCATCTTGTCATGTAGTAGTGATTGTAGTAGTAGTAGTAGTAGTAGTAGTAATAGTAAGTAATAAGTTGTAAGTTATTGTTCGTGGTCCAGGTATAGTCCATAGTTAGAGTTTAGATTTAGAGGTAGTAAGAATTTTACTATTTAGTAAATATTTATAAATTTATACGTACTAGTTGTACGTTACCCGGTGCGACTATATTTGACTATAACAACATATATTAATTTTTTATTTATTAATTATAATTATTATAGACAGTACTGAGTAGTCTGTAGTTAGTGTATAGTGTATAGTATTATACTATACTAGTTAATACTAATACTATTATTATTAGTATTAGAATTAGTGTGTAGTAGTTTAGTTTTTAATTTGTAAAATTTTACAATCGGACTATAAGTAGAGAGGCATTCTGTGATGATTCTCAAGTAATATGTGGTAAACTATTGAAGCCTATTGTTTAAATCATAGTTTAAAAGTTACACAGACGGTCTGTTTTCGGAATACCTTGTTTTCATAGCAGTCAGCGTTCATAGAAGAATGATTAATATAGTAGTAGTTGGGATATTCGCCGAAAACATAAATGGTAATAGCCAGGTATCCGTCTAGGTTAAATGCAAATATATTAATATCGTAATTTATTTTTAAATTTTCCTTAATCTGGACTACTTATCTAAAATATCGAATGATAACCATTTCCTTTATTTTAATTTTAGCTCATATCTTTTAATTATTTTATGAATAGTGATATAGCTGATAAAATCAGGTTAATGGTTTCCATTTTGAATTTTAGTTTGAAATAGCATAAGAAATAATTTAAAAGGGAACAGCCATTGTGGCAGTGATTCACATAAGGGGAGGTAAAGCCCCGCAACTGTGTCAATTTCTGCTTATTATTATAATTTGGATAATTCGAAGACTTACTTAATTTTAGATTATATATTTTTGTCTTACGCAAATTTTAACAGAATATCTTAACACTCAGACTCAGATTTTACCATGTATTCTATCAAGATTTGACGTTCATATCAAATAGTGGTAAAGTCGTAATTTAGCTTCGTTAGTCGTTAATTTATCACTCACAAACGAATGATTTTTCAAATTCAATTTATAGTAGTTACGTATTAATAGTATTATAATTAAGTAGTTACTTTAACTTTAGTACTAATAAACAACACACAATAAGTCTAATATTACTGTCACAATACAGAAAACATTATGGCACCACAGACTTAAAGCTTTTTTTGGCAAACATAATTACACAAACATTACAATTATAAATTATTGGTAGTTTACTACTATAGTTATAGGCACTATAGCTTCTACTTGGGCAGGGAGCTATTTGTAGTAAACTACCAATAGCTTCTTTAGAGCTATTGGTAGTCCAGCCAATCAAATCAAACCAAAATCTGAGCTTTAAATACCCGCTTCCAATGAGGCTGGCGAAGTATTGCCCCGTTCATTTATTACTAGTTTGTACTAGTGACAACACATCGGCACTAATTATAAAATCTACAATACTGTTTAAAAGTTAAAAGTACTGGGGGCGAAGGGGATCATAATCTGAAGTTTTTTTACCTAGCTTCTCCGTTGCCAAGGCCAAAGTAAGATGTGCAGTAATGGCAGTAAAATCCAGCTGTAAACATTTTGTGTGTGCTAATTATTATTATTATGATTAAAATTATTAATTAAAATACAAGCCTAAATAATTACCATAAGAAGTTTTACCGCATACAAAGTGTGCATATTAAAATCTAAATCTTTTTACTTTAGTTAAATGAAACTGTATAATAACGTGATTAGGCTTAAGGATGATAAAAAAAAGCTTAGGCCAATCATTGTTTAGGAACGTAGAAGCTTAGAAGCTACTGGTAGTGGAGTAGTTTACTATCAATATCCACAGCCTTTTCAGTAATTATTATGAAAATATGTTATATCAGTAGCACATGATTTAAAAATTTGTTCATTTAACACTTAGGTAATTTCGCCTGTAAATATTTCATGCTGTATTGTGTACAATTTAACATTTTTTTTGGTTGAATTAAAAAAAAAATTCTCTTGATGGCATGTTAACTAATCAATTCTGACGTAACACAGGAGCCCCCAAGTACTCCACCCCAACATGTACGGATAAATAGTCAAAATTTAGTTCCAATCAATTAGCTTAGTTCCTAATTTATTTATTTTTCTTTATTTACAGTTAATGTATAAAACGCTTTATTACAACTTTTATTTAAAACATTTAATACTTCATATAATTTATTAACGTATGGATCAGGAGTTGAAAATGATATTTATCTTATTTTTAAATAAAATCCAACAAAGTTCTGAGAGAAATATTGAAAAAAAATTGTTTTATGGTCCATGAACCATCATGATACAAGAGAGAGTGAAGATTCTTGTAAATCACAATCTCGAGCATGAGTGTTCCAGCTTAAGCCACTCATGCGCATAATCTAAAACTAACCCCCCCCCCCCCCACCGCAGCAACACATTAGTCCTCTCGAGGTCGCTCCCTTATTTTATGTAGGGATGCTTCGATAAAATATGGAAATAGTCTACGACTGCCTTGACCAATATTTCCTCCCATAAAAGCAATGTAAAGAAGTGTCTTTGTAAATAAATGAAACAAAATAAATATCTTAATTTAACTGGTCACATTTTTAAAAAAAAATGCTAAGAAACCTGCAGCCTTTTGAACCAGTACATACAGCTCTGCTTTACTAATCTTTAATGACATTGAAACACTCCTCACTGGCCTGGGACCCCGAAAATTGTTTTCTTAGAAGAAAATATTTATAATATATTCAATAAAGTCAAAATTACCATTAAAAAAAAATAAAAAAAAAAAATATATATATATAAAGTATGGTAACTTGATTACTTGTTGCCGTTTATGGATATGAGGCTTGGGTGGGGTCAAAACCCATGCTGATGATTTTAGCTACGCAGCCCTGAGAAAGCCACTCCTAGGCAACCGTTTCATCCCAGCTTTCCGTCCCGACCAAAAGACCCGGGCGGTGGGGGTTGGTAACGCAACACCTTCCCTTCAGAGTGGAAGCAAACCCGCCCAGACCTTCAGGGAAAGTTGACTGCGAACGCTTTAAACGCAGCATTTTAAGACAACCGGGCATCCCCCAGGCCAGGAGGGAGGTTTCCAGGCATGCTTCCACACTGTCTGGTGGCGGGGAGACCCGGGGGGTGGGGGGGGGGTGGACGGGAGCATTAAGAGTTAGTGCTCGACTGCCCACTGACACCATTTCCCCATGTGATGTGTTTAGTATCTAGAAGTGGGTAAAAAGATTTGTTTAAAGTTGTAGTAACTTAATTAGTAATAGTATAATTTTAAAAGTTACACACAAAAATAAACATTAAAAAAAAAACGATGTTTTTTTGATGTTGAAAAATAAGGCTACAAGTCAGTAAACACAATAACTTTGTCAAGTCCAACGATTGGTGTAAAAATAACAATATGACTTATTTCAGACTTTAAAGAGCTATTTTCCTTTAAAAGTTGTGATTTATTAATTTGTAAGCACATGAATTTTTCTTGTTGCTATATTATGTCGTGTGGATATATAGTTAGTGTTGAATTTTTTTTCTGGCTTAAATAATGGGAAGCTAGTGATGTTTTTTTTTTCTTTCTGGGTTTTGCTGGGGGTTGTACAATCAAGAAGAAGTTTGGGGTTGACATAATTTAGAATGCAAAGCCATCCAGCAACCCATTTTAATTTTCAAGATTTTTTAATATCTTTAAAATTTTAATTTTTTAATAAATATTTGGATCTGCATAGGTAGAATTAGTATTATTTGCCAAGGCATAAACTTTAAAAAAAACGGGATATTCCGCCAGGGCGAATGTCTGATGCGATTTTGGTTTGTTCCCTAATCCAAATTTACCAAGTCAAAGTTGAATTATTCATTAATTTTGTTCAGCCAAAATAACAATAATTTTTCAGCCAGGTTCTCAATTTAGCCTACTGCCATGGGCGCCCGCAGGTAGGGGCGGGGGGGGGCATGCCTCCCTGGATTGATTAAATAAAAAAAATTTTAGACAAAAATAGACAAAAAATTTATTAAAGTAAANTCCTGACCGTTCGTTCCCCATACAAATACGCTACAGTAAATTAAAACTACATTAAAACATTACTTTAAATTTTTTTGCCCCCCCCCTGGAAAGTTAATCGATTTTTTTTGCCCCCCCCCAGAAAGTTTTCTGCGTGTGCCCATGCCTACTGCCTATGGGCTACATCAATATAGGCTAGACTATAGGCCTAAAAAGTTTGTGATTGTCAGTGTTTCATTCTCATTATTTTGATACAGTGTTAGTTCTAGGTCTAATGTTAAAAATTCAATAATTCGTTTTTTTTTGTTTACATATCAGGCACTTTGTTATCACCCGGGAACATAAACAAATCTGGTATCTCAATTTCGTCATCAAAAGGGACAACCTCCACTTTTTAATTTGCATATGGTATCTTTGTTTCACCTTTTATACCGGCATTTGATTATTGGCATAATAATATATTATACATCCCCCATTACGTAAAGCCGACATCTTGATTGTTCAATTGAGAATTTAATTACTTTTTTTTTAGGTTGATGCTTTAAAAATTGAAGTTAAAATATGTCAACTTTACTGATTGATAACTTTTAAACATTTAAATTATAAAAACCATTCTGAAATTTATTATGGCATAACATGTCATTATAACATATAAAAATTCATGAGTGTAGACTGTAGGAAAGGGGGGCAAAAACAAACAAAGAGGTCACTATTCTAGGCTATGTAGTTCGTCGTCATGGCGACTAAGCTTGTTGTTATATTACCCATTATTGATGGCGGCAGTGGAATGGTTAATAATTCGTCAAATTGTTTGTCCAGTATATAAGTGGTAAAGATACCGGTAACCAATGTTCCCTTTAAGCTGCGTGGCCGCGCAGCTGTCTCACAGATGCCGTGCAGCAGTTTTGAGTATCCGCGCAGCTAAGTTCCATTTAAGTTTGTGTTTGTGGGCTGTAAAATTTTGCACACACAAAAATTGATGCTGTAAAACTTACACACAACTGAATGATTTTGCACACAAACCAGCAATACTTAGAGGGAACATAGCTGTTAACTAATAATAAATCATTTTAAAATAGATTAAACAAATTTTGTAACATAAATTATTAGCGGCTTATCTAATATCAGTGGTTTTAATTTTAGGATTGGTTGCCAAGGATATAAGATGGAGAACCTACCACTTGTCTTTGACTTAGGCCTTTGAAAAGTTTTAGAATATTTATTATAAAATAATATAATTTAAGTGACATGTTTGAACGATGTTAAGCTAAATTTTATTTGTTATGTAAATTTTAAAAAAAACAACTTACCTCTGATATTGAAAATTATTAAATATAAAATAAAAAAGTTCATTTCAATTAAATATTTCACAATACAAACTATTAGACATAAGACGCTAAACTACTACTACTAATTACTAATGAATTTAACACATTCATTAACAAAGGCCTCCTCAAAGAAAGCTAATAACACAACACAATAATCCAAAGAATTTCATAACAAATATTAAAATGTTCCTCAAGTGAATTATAATTACTGGCCCACCTGTAGTCTTTTAGATGAATATCAACAACCTATCACCATGTCTAAACCTTAGAACCTATCGTCCAAGCCTACTTATTCAGTATAAGTATACGTTAATGTAAATGGCTCAAATGACTATTAAACAATACTAAAACTATTAAATTTTCGTATGTAGGGCTTACTCCTTGATTTTAATGATGTGAGAACCTCTGAAAATTTTGTTTTTTTTCTCTTTTATAAATACAAATAATTGCTTGCATTTTTCATTAATAAGATGCACCAGCACACCAAATTTGAGCTGTGTATCTTTAACATTTAACAAGTTATGATTATTTTTCATTCCAAAAATGTGCAGTTTATTGAATTTATACAGGAAAAAAGTGGATCTTACATTTAAAATAGTTATTTAAATAAGATAATGCTAGTTTAAAGCATATTTTCTGCTTTAATTATTAGTACGGTATATAATTTTATCAACAAATCCTGTAAATCTGACATTTTTACATTGAGAAATATGCTAGAAATATGATTAAAAGGGATGAGCTGAAAAATGGGTCCCAAAAGGTGGAGACAAACTCAATGGTAAAAAAAAAGTGACTTGACGTCGGTGCTAAAAAAATTCAGAACTATTCAACCATTTGAGCTAGAAAGAAGTTGATCTTAGTGGTTTTGTAAACCATTTCGTTGGCTCTATTCAACCGTGTTGGATTTATATTTTTGCAATATTTTGAACATTTCACCAAAGTACCTATGTGTATATTCCTCAATCTGTTTTTTTTTCTTCAGGAAATTGGCAGTGTCTCCATCTTGAAAAACTGCTTTGGGAAATAACATCAGAGTTACGATGTCCCAAGGTCAAAGTTCCCTCCCCCAGAATAAAGAAGCTCAGCTTAGGTCTTACCAAGTCCACCTGAAGGACAACACTCGCTCAATGTTTGATAATTTCACTGAAATAATTCGACTGGCCCGCGTAAGTGACAAGGTATAATGGTAAACTTTTGTCTTTTTTTTTCAGTGTTCCAATAACCGGAAGCCTGGCCCTGGTGGAGGACTTGCACTCACTCATAACACATTTTTATCTATTTATCATATTCATCATTTAACTTTAAAGTTGTTGTAACCATGGGTTGTTAACTTCAAGTTTTGTACATTCCATGACGTCTCCAAGATGTAATGAGATCTTTTCACGCATCATTCAAGCTCTCCTGTCTTCTTAATGAATTTAATTCATACTCATATTTAAAAATTAATCAAACGAAGATGACGTTTGATTTTGTATATTTTATTTCTTCTCTTAAGACATGAAGTTCTTGTCCAAATAGAGTTATGCCATTTTCTTAGACATTGGAGAGGGTTTTTAAAAAGTAGTTTAGGCAGGAATAGATAAGAAATTTAAAAAGTAAATTAATCTATTATCTGATATCTGTATAAATATTGAATGGAAAATACAGTGTCAAAAGCTAAATACCTGTCTCCAAATTTTGTAGGGGACTATTGTTTTTATTAAAAAATACATTTAACATATTCAATGTTTAAGCGGCATGTTTTTTGGTGTATGGTTTTGGTACATTCTATCTAACAAGCTAATAATTTTTCTTTGAATTTATTGCTATTTTTTAAATTTGACTTAAGTTTTGGATACAATTTTCTGCTGGGTGGGCCAGGTTGTATCTGTTTTTCAATGTGGAAAAATTATTTTCTTCAGTCTTGAGATCAACATGAAAACTTTCTATGATACATACTTCAGAGATAAAAACTCTTTGGCACATAATTGGTGATGTTCTGTACACATTAACCAATATATTTAAGTCGGTTTCTATGCCCATGTGTCTCTTTTTTTTTAAAGGGAATGCATTATATTATAAAATTGTTTTTTTGATACTTTTGTAGTATAGAATTAGCATTAGTTATAACATGTTTTGATATTTATAGTATTATGAAATGTTTTGTTATGCATAGTATAAGTTATGAAATGTTTTATTTTCACCCATTTCCATCATTAATGTCTAATAATCAAAGTAAACAGTTTAAATAACCTCAATAAATGTAACGGATAAAATAGAAGTTGAATTTAATGTTTAAAAAGTTTTTACTTTGAATAGTTATACATTCAAAAGATGAGCCGAGTTATTTCACAATATGCAACTTTTAACAAATGTATATCTTTTGTCTGTGTTAAAATTCGTTAAATTAAGCAAAAAATAATTTGTGACACTTAAAATGGTATTCGGGCCATCCATATAGTATGTACACAAAAAAAGTCTGATTATCACACACACAACACCCCTTTCCCCCCCTTCCCCCAGCCATTCCCCTGTTCCATGCTTACGTTTTTAGACACACCCCTAGGCCATTGGTTCTTAACCTGGGTTCGATCAAACCAGTCTCAGGGGCTTGGCGGAGGTACAAAAAAATTTTTTTTAAAATCATATTTTATTTTTCCTATTAAGAAGGGTTTGGTGAATGCGCATATGAAACCAGTGGGGTTCAGTACCTCCAAAAATGTTAAGAATCACTGCCCTAGGCATATGTATAATGAGCTTTCCACCCCCACCTCCTTTTTCAAGGAAAAAACCACCAACAAATCAATTGATTTACCAGTATCGACAATTACAATGTCACAGGTGGGTGTGACTTCTGTTTGGTGAGCCCAGTGGTTCCAATAATATTCTCCCGGTGACCGTATTGCCCTGGGGGCAGGCCCTTGAGAAGGAGGGCAGTGGCCCCAGGCGGATAGGATTTTAATAGTGAATTAAGTTATTAAGTCCCATGTACTTCACAAAGAAAAGAGAAATTTAAAAAATCGTCTTTTTACCCACCACTGTTTACTATGTTTTAAGGGACGCCATTTTCAAAATTTGCTCTGTGCGCCGCTTGCCTTCGGAACGCCCCTGCATTGAGTTTCTGCAGCTTGCTCACAGGGGCGCCGCAAAATGTTACATATGACAACAGTAACTCGCTTGAGCACACACGATTGTTTGCAGTTACTTAATGACACTTAGTGACAGTGTTTCATTTATTTTTAGCCAAACCTATATTATTATTTTTTTAATGTATTCATTATTTGGTAGTGTACTTTTAAGAATTTAACAACATAAATTAGGAAAGGGCGCCGGGAATACAGAATTTTTAGGTACCACTGGCCTAGCCGAATAAAATATATCACAGGCACTTGGAATATACGATGGACTAAATCTTACTGTTACTACTATACGGAGGCCTTATACTAGAATGATATCTAGTGAGTTCATTTTTGAAAACACAACGCAGCATGACGTTAAATCCTACAGGAAATTGCATAATACTTTTACAGCTATATATGCTATTTATGGACTGTTTCAGAAAAATTATTGCAAAATTTGTGCGTAAATGGACGTACTATCTTCCAGACACACAAACACCCCCCCCACACACACACACACACCACCTCCCATGGACAAAATTGACAACGTCCCTCAGTGCTATGTACTATATGGCCGACCGTTACCCAAATCTGATGTCCAAGGATAACTCTTCGTTTTATTTTCTAATTAAAATTTAACAACATTCCAAAAACATTAAATTTTCAGATTGAGGAGGATGGACAGCTCTTGCGACCAACTCAGATAGACCAGGACAACTATGAGATGCAAGTGCGAGCAGCCAATATCGTAAGTCTAGCTGCAGGAAATACAAGAGATAAGGTTTTCTTCTCCATGAAACGTGAAATGGCTTAAATTCTTGACCTTTATCTCAGCATTAAAGAAATCGTCCTAGATTAACTTTCATGAAGTAGATTTATTTTTCAAATAATCGTACATATCAATCTCTATACCGGTACATAGGTATCACAACCTAGTACATTATTGATAATCCTTCTATTGCTATATCATTACATCAAACTAGATTAACATTTTCAATTAACTGTGTTATTACCGGTACGTCAAAATGGATAAAAATATTTTAAATTAATTGTGTCATCATTATGTCAAACTAGATTTGCTATAATTTATAATATTATCAGGTCAAACTAGATTGAACTATTTTCAATTAACTGTGTCATCATTACGTCAGACTAGATTTGTTAAAATATTATCTGGTCAAACTATGCTGCACTATTTTCTATTTGCCGTTATCATCAGGTCAAGGCCGGCCAGAGCCTGATGAAGTTGGTGTCCGACCTGAAGCAGTTTCTCATCCTCAATGATTTCCCGTCGGTGAACGAAGCCATAAACCACAATGCTAACCTGTACAAGGAGATGCAGGGTAACATAGACAAGAAACTCATGATTCTACGAGACGAAATGTCTGCCGACCTCTACGAACTCGAGGACGAGTACTACTCATCTGTCTACAAATAAAACCTGCCAGCCTGGCTGCATCACTAATCCGTCTACAAATGAACCTGCCAACCTGTCTACAGCACTTAACTGTCTACAAAGGAAGCATGTCAAGATGCATTACAATTACACTTACATCTACTAATAGACATTATTTAGTTTTAGGAGTTGTTCATAAAGAGACAACCACAGGGGGGGGGGGGGGGCATTCAGAAGCAGACTATGGGGGAAGAGGATGTAAAAGGGTTTTGCGGACATCCACAAGCTAGCATTTCCTGTTTCATTCAGCTTTTGGCCCACTAATTGTATTCCCGTATGTCTAACATCTTTAAATTAGGGATGTTCTCTATGGTGGATCTAATTGTGAAACAATTATAATTTTAAGTGTCCACTTGGAAGTTAAAAAATTTAATACGGGAGATCACTCTAAATATTTGGTTGCTATTTATTAACAATAACAATTAATGTAAACCATGCGAGTTCCTTACACTCGGGTTAGGTGGACTTTAATCCAATGATTTATATCATCAGAATTATTTAGAAGTTTAAATCTAGTGACTATCTTAGCTCTTTGACTCTCATCTTAGCTCTTTATAATCATTTCATGCTTCCTGGTATTTTGCACTGTATAATGCCGTAAGCAGATGTCCTTTGTGAGCAACTCCTAATCCGTTTTACTGCCAAGACTTACATAAGTAGTGTATTACTGTTAGAAATCAAGATTTGTTTGAAGGGATTGTATAGGTTTGACTTGAATTAAGTTGGACTAATTGGTTAGAATTAAAAAGTTGGACTAATCGGTTAGAATAAAAAAGTTGGACTAATCGGTTAGAATGAAAAAGTTGGCCTTATTGGTTAGAATGAAACAGTTGGATTGGTTTGTAATTTGTAAAGTACAATGAAACTGATGTTTGCTTATTATTCCTTTTAATGTTGTTATCAACTTAGGTTGGAAGTTGATGAAACTGTTTTCATGGGCATTTGTTTTGATCCATTTGTCACTTACATAAACAGATTATAGTTATATGCTTATTTTAATAAAACATGTTTCATACAAGTGGATAACATAAATATGAAATGAAAACAAAATGAGTGAAACAAAGTATGGGAAAGCCTGTAAAAAAAGGTCGCAACAAAAAATAATATTAAATAAAAACACCCAGCCGCAATGTGGTATCTGAGCGGACAGCAAGAGGAATGTGTCTGAAAAGCTACGGTATATATTATAAACGACCCATTTTTGGACTATGCATCAAACGTTTGTCAGGTGTTTAACTCTTGTCTTGTTCGGGTATAATTAAAATCTTAACATTGTTGCTGAAAGAATAATTTTATATAACTTTCAAATTGTACATTAAGGAAAAAACAAAAACTTAGCTTTGCAAAGCTTCATGGAGTTAAATGTATGGATATGACTATATGCATTATGTGCTACTGGCATTTTGGATGGGAATTTTAGTCCATTCACTGTCTAGCTGTTATTTATATTACATGTATATTTTGTTGAATGCAGTAAGCTCGTCCATCTTTTCATGATGTAAATAAATTCATTACATGTTCTTGTTCAGTTGTTGCATTATTTCCTGGAATGTATGATTGTAATGTTCTTTCTTAAATGTAAACATTTATTTTCACCCCCAGTGCTTGAGATCACAAATTTTAAATTTCTGTTGGGTGACCATGACCCAATGTAACTTACTATTACCTAGTGTGACCATGTGACTATTAAGTATGACCCTGTGTGACCAGGTGACTATTAAGTATGACCCGTGTGACCATGACCAAATGTGACTTACTGTGACCCCAATGTGACTTTTATCCAATGTGACTTACTATGACCCCAATGTGACTATTATCCAATGTTACTACCATGACCACATGTGACCATGACCCAATGTGACTTACTATGACCACGTTTGACCATGACCAAATGTGACTTACTATGACCCCAATGTGACTTTTATCCAATGTGACTTACTATGACCCCATTCTGACTTTTATCCAATGTGACTACTATGACCACGTGTGACCATGACCAAATGTGACTTATTATGACCTAATGTGTCTTACTAAATGTGTGTGATCATGACCTGATATGACCTTGACCCAATCAAATCCTTGAATAGTTAAATCAGTAACAGAGCAACCTCTAAACATTTAGTTCCACTTACAATTCTTAAAGAGACATTATCAAAATACACTGAAAAACTGCAAGGATTAGACACTAAGGTTTCAATGGAACATGTAAATCAGTTTATTATATCAAAATTTTCTAAAACATGTAAACAACTGGTTATAAACATAGATTTAGTATTTTTTAAAAATACTGTTCATTTTTTAAAAAAAGAACGTAAATATGTACAAATCGCAAATAAAAAAACCTGAATATTTTCATCTATGGTTTAAATTTAAATCAACTTATTCCAAATTGAACTCGTATCACAAGTTGCAACATTTATTGTTTCAGACAGATCTTTCAATCAGGACTACTTGCAGTCTTAAGAAGGGGTTCCTCATCAAGTAAACACAGTAAAGTACCGGTAAGTATGTTTATTATGAATGTCTTAATATCATAGGCCGTCAGCCCAAGTAACATGTTAAGAAATTTTTCGAATCTTCAGACCGGCTGCTCTGATTTCTCTGATAGCTTCTTGCAACACACCATATGAAGTTAGCCATTTTAAACAAATTAAGCCTATAGATAAAACTCAACAAAATTCTTTTACTTAAAATTATTATATAAATAATTTAAAAAAAAAAATAATAATGACACAGTTGATATTTTTTTAAAATGAATTTGAACAAAGTTAAAATGATAAAAAGTTTATATTTCTCATCTAACAAAGTGGAATCAATTTATGATGACAGATTGCAAACTTGTAAAGTAATCTGAAACTAACAGAGTGGAAACCATTTCCTTTTGCATCTGTGTGGACTCAAATGTTCTACAATGAGCTGGTGTCTTTGTAAGACGGACTGGCCCGACCCACTTTTTTCTTCAATTTCTTATCCATGATGCTACTAATTTTTCTCCGCAATTTGATTTCTGGAGAGCTCACGGGGACATACCATTTTCGGACCATTGCTTCACAGCTCTCGGGCACCTCGCCATCAAACCGATACGGTCGGTTAGGAAGTGCCACTTGAAGAGCCGGGGCCTAAGACTTCTCCACGACATGGGGGACTCCGGCCCCCAGTCTGGCCAAGGCCTCCTCGCAAGGTCCCATGATGTCCTGCAAAATCCAAAAGCACATTTTTATTTTCTTATAATCACTTTATGGACATGGGGAAAATCTGTTAACCCCTTTTATCTTAAGTTTCAATCTCTTAAACCTGAAATTTTTTTTGTGTGTGTGGCTTATTTTTATTGGGAATTTTTTTGTTACCATTTCAAACCTCTTGTGTTTAAGGGCAATTCATTGATTTGCTCAAACCGACATTTAAAGCTTCCTAAAACTAAGATTTTATCTTTACAAATATCAGAGGGAAATTCCTTAGAACCCAATTCATCATTTAACTGATTACAATACACTTAACAAGCGTAAGTTAGTACACACAAAAACTCAAAAGAAGCTCAATTTGGAAATAAACGGTCAATAAAAAAAGATACATAAATACTATTAAAAGATATTGAAACGAGCACAGCATATTGGAGACTACAAGAATTAAGTTAGCATCTATAGTAACTTTAGTGACATACAATGGTTACAGAAAAAAAAAGAGTTTCAAACAATAAATTCTAAGATTTAACTCAAGAAATATCTTTCTTTTTTTTTTTTTTACCTTATTTTCTTTGTATCGTTTGAGAATCTCTGATAAAATCAAAGGCACTATTTTGGCAGCTTGTAGTTCATTATTTATATCATCTGGTGAAAAAAAAAAAAAAAAAATAAAAAAAAAAAAAAAAAATAAAAACAAGAAAAGAAAATTGAAAAATAAAAAAAAAAAATAAGAATATATAGTAACTTTAGTGACATACAATGGTTACAGAAAAAAAAAGAGTTTCAAACAATAAATTCTAAGATTTAACTCAAGAAATATCTTTCTTTTTTTTTTTTTACCTTATTTTCTTTGTATCGTTTGAGAATCTCTGATAAAATCAAAGGCACTATGTTGGCAGCTTGTAGTTCATTATTTATATCATCTGGTGGTGGAACCAGGTCACATCAAGAACTATTCATTAGTTATATTACCAAATAATTCATGTTCAATTTTACAATCGATGCATAAAATATGATTATAATAAACTTATAAGCAGTACCGGGTAACTACATCCGTTGCAAAAATTACCTATTCTGAACACAGATTACAAACCATGACGGTGTGGAGGGTACTCCAATTAAATTTTCTGACTGGTGACAGTTTCACTGTTGAAACAATCTCATCACTTTAATTTGTCAACAGGGTTGTTTAAGGGGGTATTCTACAGGTTAACTTGATGGTTAATATGGGTCATATAATTATGCTTACAGGTATTCACAATTGATATATCAGCATATCTTGTTATGTGAGCACAGTTACATGTGTAAGGTAAGCCACAATATTGATAAATGTCTGAATATTTAAAAAAAAAATTGAAAGCTATTAAGCTATTGAATATCTCCAACAATCATCCTTGTAGCTGACTGTTCACTTGATTTGATTTCAAAACTTTGTTAGGGATCTAAACTGACTCAAGAGCAATATATTCAACAGCAATCAAGGATTTTAGAGACATTTTATAGGAATTAATGTGCAAAAGATAAATAAGTGAAAAGTGAAGTGTCTAATATAAGCTACATTATGAGGTGCTACGTAGCATTATACATGGTTAGTAAAGCAAATAATAAATCGCACACATTTATAAAAGTGGCTACGGCAAGCAGCTACCTAGAGGATACCTTATTATTGACAAACTTTCTTTGAACTTCATTTACTAGTTGGCTCACTTGAGCCGCCTTAAGATCAAGGCAAATTTCATCTAGAAAATAAATAAAAGCATTAGGATTGATGGTAAACTCTCAGCAAATTCAATATTTTAAACCTCAGTTGTTTAGCATTTTTAAACAAAGAATGCAGCTCAGTAATATCAAAGTATTATATGATCCCACATGGGGCAGAAAGGCTGAATGTGGGAGTACAAGATTTTTGTGAGAATTTGTTTTCTCTCTACCCACCATAGATTGATAATTCCAGCAGCAGGCGCACGATGCCTTCTACAACCATGGCATTGTCTTTATGGAGTTTGTAAGCTTCTAGGATTGTTGGGATCCCAGTTGGGGCATCGTCGTCAGGTTCAGCACTTGTTAAAAAGCGAAAAGCACATTCCTCTGGAAACATAGTTCATGAAACTTTAAGAAAATTATCATTTTTTACACTGTTTAATACTTAAGATTTGTATAAAATTTTAATTTTTCCTTCATCAATAAATTCTTTGTAATAATTCTTAATAAAAGATATGCACATGAAATTTGAATACAATTACCATTTGCATTAACAACGGTCGCCAGAACCTTGCAGCAGTTTTTAACAACTTTAGCATTTTGAGTGTGGAGGTGGATGGCAAAGATGAGGTTTCCAACACAGTCCAGCTCATTGAAAGGATCATAGCAGCCGTCTGAACAGAGGACGGTGAGTTGATTATGTATGGAGTTTAAAATGGCTCCTCTCATACTTAGGGTCTTTAGATAAATGTGGTGACAATGGTGAATATATTTCCCTCTCTTTATTATCTCCCTCTATGTGTTCATTCTCCTCCAATGTTATTTTTTTGCACTCCAGTGTGCCATAAAAGATATAATGTGTCTAAATTAATTTTCAAACCTCCAATTAATTTAAAATAATTTAAATTCGCATTAATTTTGATTGAGTCACATGTTAGAGCAGTTCTTATCCACTTAAAATTTATTGCAATGCTATAAATATAATGCAGGTAAATTACAAGCAATGTCCCAGTAATTACTTCACATATTTATTACCATCTAACAACAAGGAGATGAGTGCAGCAGCAGCTGACTCGCTGACTTCAGGTGAAACTTTGTGTGTGCTGAGAGCTATGCACACATCCTTCACTGCATTCTCTTTACCTGCTACCTTTAAGTTCTCAACTATAGAAACAATAAATATAAGGACCATCAGGTTGTTTCAAACAGAAAGTATTAAAGCCTTGTTGCAATGAAATGTATTGGTAATGAAGAGAGATTTAAGCAATGAAATTTAATATAAAATGATCTACTTGGAGTACCATACTTAAGACTTTCAGTAATGGCAAAACTATACAATGCTTACCATCAGCAGCTAGACTCCATAAAGCCATGCAGCAAATAGCATTTAATGAGGCGTGGTATCGAGAATGTCTCATGGCTTTCAAAATGTCATGGATCCCACCAAGCTGTACAATCATACGAGCTGCTTTCTCTGATAAAGATATAGCAAAATTTATGTTGACAAAAAAAGAAAAAAGACAGCATTACAATGAATGGGCACTGACAGCAATGTCTGAATACATTTTAGGATTCAGTCAAGGGGGAACAATGCATAGCACTCTAGAAACAATGTAAGAATTACATGAAATAGTATATAACATGACCCACAAAGGTCACATAGAATAGGATAATGCTGATCCTAGGAAATAACTACAATTTTGACCTTATCTCTCTACCAAATATTTAACATTTATAAACCTATTTAACTGGCAGCAGCAGTGTTGTTTCCCTCTGATATACATTTCTTAAAACTGATTCCAAGAATATGATGAACACTGTACAATTATTGCTATGTTACAAACACAATGCTCGGCCAACTATTCTGTAAGTGTATAGCTTTAATTAAGCTTGCTCATGCCACATTTTATTCCTAGTCATCTAATCATTTAATGATCGCCGATTACCAATTTATTTCAATTTTATTTTTTGAATATCTAATAATGACAACATACGCACCGTCCGCTGATAAGGCCAGAATCAAATTAGCGGCAGCGAGTTGAACTTCAGGCTCGTATTCATGTGCCTGGAATATCAGTGTTGCAAAATGTTAGTACAGTTATGACATGGCGTTTCGATTACAGGGGTTTAAAAAAGTTCTAGACACAAGTAACATGTGGAACAGAATCATACTGTCAGAAATTACGTGGAGCAGAATTATAATGTCACAAATAAAATAAGCATTTTTTTGTTGTTATGTAGAATGAAGTCAATGGTAAGGTGATAAAAATCTTGACATGTGATGACAAAAATCAGCTTAGATGTAAAACTTACAGCCATAATTTTGTGAATTATTGTAATCACAGGGGGTGTAAATAAAATGTCATCTGGTTGAGCTGTGGATGAAGGTATAAAAAACAATAAGAACACTTGAAATTGAGTAAATACTTAAAATAACCTCCCCTGTATCCAATTTATAAAATCTTTTTTTATTTCACTTAGACCTTAGTTTCTTATAAATTCAAAGGAACATGATGAAAATTAAACATTTAAAAAGGAAATAAGTTCATGTGAGATGTTCATACAATGTGCATCATGTTTCGGTGAGTACATTTAAAAGCTAATTACCAAACACTGCTAAGTTGCTGAGCACATAACAGCCAGCAATTTGGGCTTCCTTGTTGAAGACATGGTCCCACATGGCTAGAGAGATCAGATTCCTGGCTTTCTGATCTATTTGTGTGTAGGCCGACTCATCATCTCGGACTAAGTCTGCCAGGGCCGACATGCCCTCAGCCACGCAGGTGTCATGGTCAATTGTGTCAGCAATGTATTCAATCACTTTAGCAATGTTATATCTTTCCCCCAAGGGATCTTTAATAGAAAGAAGGCAAATATTTGCTATTATTATTTTACTACCAAATTTGGATGAAAAAGTCTGTCATTTTGATTACGTATCGGTTACAAAGTGTGATATCAAAATCTCTCAAAAAGGTCTTTTCTTTTTTTAAAGGGGTATTAGGAATATACATTTTAAATTACCGGTAGTTATCAATGGTTTAAATTTTTGTAGATATTTTGGGATCAGAAATATTTTTTTTTTTTTTGCAAACAAATTTCAGTTGCATATTTTTCTTACATATTTTTGTGGTTTTTGTCTGCTTCTGTCTCGACCTTTTGTCTATCTGAGAACTGTCGACTTGTGCCATACATTCTTGAATGAACCCAGACTTGATGAATTCACTAAAATAAAATTCATGGATTGAGAAATGAACAAAATTATTCTGTTGTAAAAAGAAATTTAGCTATATTTTAGTTTCCATGACATGGTCCTGGAATTTACTATTTGTAAACAATCCTCAAACATTAGTTTAAAAAGCTTGGTGAGCATGCTTTTCCCCTCCCACCAGCATAATCTAAAGCAGGGGTTCCCAACCTTTTTGACTTGCAAAGCCCTTTCCCTAGGATTAATTTCGGGGGGGGGGGGGGGGGGGGGGGGGGGGGGGGGGGGGGCTTTGGCCAACCCTACGTCTTAAAAGTTAACACTTTTATTTTATTTTCTGGAGTGGCCAGGTAACCCCTGAGAAGTGCATAAGGAGCCCTAAATATGGAGCCCTTGGGGCTCTGCAGAGCACAAATTGAGAAACAGCACTAGCAGTTCCAAATCTTTCAGTTGACTCATCATATTACATAATAAAAACACATGATATTTTAAAAGCAGAGACAAAATTAACAGGTTTCATAATCTGGTCATTCCCAAGAAAATTAAATGATTAGATGACTGGGAATAAAATGTAGCATGAGTAAGCTTAATTAAAGCAATACACTTACAGAATAGTTGGCCGAGCATTGTGTTTGTAACGTAGCAATAATTGTACAGTATTCACCATATTCTTGGAATATTTCTGAGAATAAATAAAATAATAAAAATCGTATAATTTTACAGTCAAAAAATTGATAGAGCAGGGTTGAGATGAAAATTTGAAAGAAAATAATGTTTTCTCTTGCTAGATTTTATGGCAACTGTGATTTATGTGTATAATACTTTATTACCCTTTGCCTTTTATCATTGGACCAAAACAATTGATTTACTTAATTTAAGCTTGCAATTTTATTTTGTTTCATTTTTATTGTCACTGAAATACAGTAATTTTGCAGCTGTGTGGATACCTATATGCTGCTTTATATATTTTTAGAACATAACAAAGATCATAATGTTGATAGGTTTCATAAAACAAGATGGATAAATGTGTATTTTTAGAATCTTACTTCAGAAATCAACTCCAAGGTTTCATTCAATACTTCTGGCGTTTCCTTGATTTCCCCCAGCTTTCTATAAAACTCATCTTCATCAAATAAGTGGGCAGTAAGCAAGTTGAGCAGTACCCCTCCAAGTGAGTAAAGGTCACTTTTCTCATCGTGTGACTGTGTGGCTATTTCTGGAGCCATGAACACAATTCCCTCTGTGGGAAATAAAAGCATTTTTTCAAGACTAGGCAATTGGCTGCTTAAGCATATTAATTATATTACATTTTGACAGGTCTTGAACTAGCTTATTATTGAAAAATTCATATATATTTTATCTGCCTCTTAAGACCTTACTAAATGTTTGTCTTGTGTTGGTTCGTAGATCCCCCATGATGGTAGATACACCAAGATCTCCTAAAACTGTTGCGCCTGTTTTTTTCCTGAAGATATTGCTTGGTTTGATATTCCTGAAAAAAAGAACAAGTTAAATGTAAAGTTCTTCACATATCTATCATCGGTTATTTATACGCCAGTGAACATTTTATTTAAATAAGATAAGAACATACACACTTTTATTAAGCTTTTAACTTATTAAAAAAGGATTGAAAACCCCCAATACAGTTTATTATATCTCAACTTTACTGTAATTGTACCTGTGTATGATTCCATTGTCACGTAAATAGACCAGGCCTTCCAACATCTCACCAAGAATTTTCTTGATTGCCTGTTCAAGGGAAGAGTGGACAAGAGAAGCAGTGAATGAGTTACGGTAGATTTTCAACAAAAAAAAGCTCCCCTTACATGACATCTTTACTGAAACAGCTAAGAGCACACTAATAAGCAGATTTTGGAATAATCATCTTACCTTCTCTGGAATCATTTGTTTTCTATCCTGATAAGATTTGATCCACATCTTCAAATCTCCATCAGGGTAATAGTTTGAGATGATATTTAGGAACACAGATGAGTCCTGTTTATAAAATTATAGACAAAAACCAACTTAATTTGATATGAATTTTAACAGAGGAAACATACAAGATTCCCCCATTCAGGACTGTCGGTTACAAATAATAAATTAAATAGAAATTATGGTTAGCTAAAAGATTTTTTGGAATAAATGGATAAATAAATCCTGTTATTATGTCATTGTTACTCACCCCTTGTTCATATGTTATAAAGAAGTCTTGGTATCTGTCCACATATGAGTGATCCAACTTTTTAAGCTCCATTTCCTGTTTTTTTATTTAATAAACAAATGTTACAACAGAAATAAGATGCAATATCAATAGTATAAATTGAATTTATTGAATATTTATTGTTATTTTGTAATAAGAATGTTGTGTTTATAATTAACAATGTAAAAACTATGCAGTTAAATTGCTTTAAAGACTTAAAAAAATCAAACCAAAATTAATTCTTTTTTTTTAATTAAAAAGTAATACAATGAACTTACTTCAACAAAGGCTTTGATTGCAGCACTCTCATCCTGGCATTCAACCTGCAACAAAAAACACATGTTAGTACAACGATTTAACACATTATTTGATCAGATATCTCAAACACACTTATTTCTATCAACAATGTGAAAAAATGTGTATTAAAATTGGTAGGGTAAAAATTTTAGTTTTCTGAAAATATTAATTTCCGGAAAGAAAAAAAACCTTAACCAGAAGCAAACCTAAGAAGTTTTAAAAAAAAATGCATATGTAATTTGTCATACTTTTGAAATATGATTATTGATAGCCTCAAATAGCCTATCTTACCTTTTTAAGTGCATATTTTTGTTTAGTTTCTCTACTTTTCACCACATACACACTTCCCGGGGAGCCCCTTACAATGCATTGAAGAATCTTCAAAGGTGAACAATCGGCAATCATGAGGAGTTAACATTTAGTATGATAAAACTTGATGTTAACTAATATGTTTTCATGAGGAGACAATGAAAGACAATAAATTGAAATGAAAGTGTTAAAATATAAAATGTTTGACTACAAAAATAGCTGCAAAGGTTGGTCATTATGAGACTTTGTAATTATACTTCTACACACATAAGAAAGTCTTGAAGGGACAAAAATTGAATGCAGTACAAAAAAGCTGAACAAATACTATCGAGATGAAAAATAATTACCCGATATATTTCAAATATTGATGCAGCCCTGAACTTGTTTGTTTGTGGAGGAATATCTTCATCATCACTATTATCTTTAGGTGACTGAGGAGACTGAGGTGAATCATTCACCTGCCTTAATGAGGAACTATTACTGTCCTGGAATAATGCATCATTGTATTAGTTAACTGTCATATTTTCCTTGTCTATCAATGCACTCAATAAGCTAGTACATGACAACTTTAGTCAAAATGCTCCGGACAAGCAGCGCCGCCATTCGCACCCGGGTCCCATTAGACTCAATGCTATTCGGATGTCATTTGTGGTAGTTTATTTTAGTTCAACTGAAGAAGTAAGTTTACAAACATATAGTCCATTCAGTTATCTTTCATTTGATATCTCATTTTGTCTTACAAACCCAACAAAACTATTTTAAATAATTTTTTAATCCCAACCTCTCACTTCAGGTACCCGGGTGCAAATAGTCACAGCCTAATATAATAGTCGCCTCACCCTAAAGAAAAAAAATCAAGCTGAACGGAGTTCAGACGTCATGCATCAAACCTCTCAGCGTGACAAAAAAGTTAATTGTGGAGTTGGGGAGGGCCAGTTGTTATAAGGAAGAACCCACCAGAAGCAAAATTTATATAAAAGAAGAGATAATAAATAATCATTCGGGCTCCCAAATATTTTCTATCAGATAATTGACTTATTTAATATATAAATTATAAAGAAAAAAGTTGCACACCCCCACTAGGGAATTAACTATTATATTATTACCTTTAAACTACTATCTAAAGACTAAAATACTACTTACTTAGGCTAGTCTACTTCTAATTACTAAGAAGTCTAATCTAAGTGAAGACTAAGCCAATCGAGTACTAGCACTAACAATAATGAAGATCGAGTCTGATATTTTTAAGCTGATATTAGTTATTTATTACTATTACACTGATAACTAATTAAAATAAATTTCTATAGCTATATAATTATAATAAGCCAGGGCCAGGAGGAGGCAAGGGATCAACTGTTGGTTGAACAATGATCCAACTGTTGGTTGAACAATGGGTCATTTTTAAGTGTAATAAATTCAATAGCATTTAATATTTAAATAGCACTTTGTATATTTTTAAAAAAGTATTTAGGCTTAGGCCTACTACTAAAAATACTAAAAAATACTTTAAATAATCTGTTTGTCCTAAATATTCGTAACAAACGGCTTGCATTACTTTACTTTCACCTACCTCTCCCGCTGGTTCAGCCTCCATACTTGACAACGGAAAACTTTAATTGAATGCGCATGCGTGTCTTTAGGTTTTCACAATTCTCACGTTATTAATACCGAGGACTGCGTTCAGATTCAGGTTGAGGAAAAAGCATTGCTTGAATAAGAAATATAGCACACATAGCACAGGGTAGGGGAAAATCTGAAGAACGACGGAAGAAGTAGTAGTAGTAGTAGTAGTAGTAGTGTGTAAGTAATATGTCAATGTCGAGGACTGCGTTCAGATTCAGGTTGAGTAAAGCATTGCTTGAAAAAGAAATATAGCGCAGCACACATAGCACAGGGTAGGGGAAAATCTGAAGAACGACGGAGCTACATCTGATACTGATAGTGATAGGCTACTTAGACTAAATAATAAGTAGGACTTGCATATTTAATTTAATTTAGTGCTTTGAATTATCAAAATAAAAATGTATGTTTCCCCATTTATTTCCCTTACAATAAAGTGATTAATTACTTAAGACTTAAGTTAATTTTTTAAATATTTTCTTTTCGTGATAAAATATTTAAGAAATTCCCCAGCTTGAAAAAGCTAGTCGTGGCATTTTGCGCCTGCTTATCTTCTCTACCTTGATTTTTTAAAAAATTTTTAAAACTATTATAAATCTATACTACTAAAATTGAAAAATTTATTAGAAACCATTAGACAATTTTGTTGTTTTCTTTCAGGATAAACCAGGAAATAAGAAAAACAAGGTTGTATCATTTTTAAATATGATTTTTTTTTTCATTAAGCAAGACATGACAGTATCTATAATTTTAGCTTTGATGATAATTTTTCAAAGAATATTTCATTCAATGAAAATAAAGAAAAAAACAACAACATTCAGCATAATATATATATATTTAGATGTTGATAAGGCAGAATTAATCTCATTACTTCAAATTTCAATATTTGGATTTAAAATGTCAAGGATGTTTTTTTATAACATAATAATAATAAAAATCAAATTAAAAGAAATTTATGACAAGACAAAGTTAATTAACCAGATTTTTATGCTAGAAAAGAAATGTTACATAAATTTTTAAATAGTAGATTTTAAACAAAATTAAATAAACATTTAATTCATAAACTAAAAATAAATTAAAAAATTGGCCCTTTAATGATTTTTGCGGAATTATAAAAACTTCATGAATTTTCCAACTGCTAATGGTAAATTTATACCAAATGCAAGCCCAAAATTTCATTATTAAAATAAATGATGGTTAAATATTTCTCTCTGCAACACAAAAAAATAGAAGTACATATTTGATTCAGGTCAGTTAAACTTCAACCCCATGTGGGTAGCAGGCAACATAATATTTGCTTTTATAAATCTTAATTAAACAAAATTAATTTGAAATCATCACTCTTGTGTTAAACAACGTTTTAGAAATGCTGATAAAAAATGGTAAATGATAAAGCCACTTATAAAAAAAATAACATTTTGGATGTCTAAACAACACCTCTAATGCAATAGATAGTTTATTGCCACAGTAAAATCAAACAGATCAAAGAAGACAATGGATTACCTTAAAACACAATTTAAAAAAAAAGGGTTGGTCAGGAGTGAATTGAAAAGAATTCTTCCATGAGGGCTAGAGACAAGCAGATTATTGTCATAACTTACTTAAAGTGACTCAGGAAATGCCATGTGTTGTGGTTTAGAAACTGATTATGTAAAAATGTGAAAGACGGGTCACTCTGTGTGAATGTCTGTTTCCTAGTTGAACAGTTTTCCCATGAAAGGAACGTCACACAACAAAGAATGTTACTGACCAATAGGAGAACATTGTCGCTTCTCAGTAACGGTGCGAACAGCAAACAGGAAAGTCCAGTCCCAAAAGACTCCTGTAGGAGAAAATATAAATCTATAGCCCCAGAAAGCAATACACATATCTGCTGTTGTATGCCACAGTGCTCCAGGAGATGGATGAATGCTGGTAAGCTCTTTCGGCTGGTTGTATTTCTTTAGTACCTTGTTATATGCAAATAATAAATTTTAAACACTGGAAACAGACTTTCCTCCTTGAGTAATTAAAAGCTTAAAAACAAAATTTAAAAAAAATCAGAATATTAAATGTGAATCAGAGCAACATTGAATTATTTTAATCAGACCAGTTTGTTTTGTTAATCTAGTGTGTGATCAGCTCAGTGTTCTCAGTGTGTGGCCAGCTCAGTGTCCTCAATGTGTGGTCAGCTCAATGTACTCGGTGTGTGGTTAGCTCAGTGTTCTCACTGTGTGCTCAGGTCAGTGTTTAAAGATGTTAAAGCTATGTTTTTAGCCGCTTCAAATTTAATAATCAACAAACACAATGTAAATAGTTGCTTTAAAAAATCTGTCTTGAGACTTTTAAAGCCAAGGTACTGGTAGTGTTGCAATTAATTTTTTTAACTAATTATAAGAGTGTTGGACAGCGATAAAGCTTTAAAGGTATATTAATTAGACACAAACACAACTTAAAGCTGAACATATACTGTTTTATTTACACAAACTGTTTGTGTCTAATTAAAATAAAATTTATTTTCTGAATGATCTTTTTTCATTATATTGAATAATAACAGCTAATTTGTATTATTACTGTCTGTGTATTTTTGAGCATACGTTGTGTGCTGTACGTTTTTGAAACTCTGATTTAGTTCCATGGAATGTTAACTCAATAAATAGTCTATTTCCCAGTAACTCTCCAATCTAACACTATATTAGCAACATAGAAAAAAAAACATTATGCATTTAAGGAAGACCTAAGGTAACAGAATCAATAAATCAATTGTATCAAAATCTCCACATCCAGACCATATAATGTAATACATTTAGCTACAATTACAATAAATGTAAACTGTACACAATACTTCTGTTAAAATCAAGTCAATATAGGGCTGTAACCTAACAAGGGCCATGAGATGAGAAATCGGGCCTCTTTTTTCTTTTATATTTGAAATTATTAAACACCAGATTTAAAAAAACTGGCTAGCAAGTATTTTTTTATTTTTCAACATTAATTTTAGGTAGGCTGGTGGTTTATAGAACTGTACAAATGATTATTATCAGCAGTTTTTTTAACTTGAATGGTTTGAGGATCCCTCATTAAACATTTTTAGGACCCTTCAACCCCCATTGAGTCAACAAAAGATCATTAAATCTACATAGCCTTTTCTGCAGGCTCCCATAATTAGCCTTGTGAATATCTGAGGCTCCCCTAATTAGCCTTGTGAATCTCAGAGGCTCCCATAATTAGCCTTGTGAATCTCTGAGGCTCCCATAATTAGCTATTTTTATTTCTGATGGTCCATAGGCATCAGTTAAAGCTTCATAGTTTCTTTTAAAACGCAACCTTAAAAAAAAAAATCCATCAATCTGAGACTACTTGCAATCCATGACTATAAAAAAAATTACATGAGGCTAGACATGGAGTGTCAGGACAACTCCATCCTCACTCTCTAAAGAACAATTTTAAATAGCACCAACCAGTAAACAGTTCTTTCGGTACAAAGACATTGAAGAAATGAAAATGATGAACTGAGACTGAATTGATAGGGGAAGTCTTCAAAACATCTTCAAGCAAAATTAAGTACAAATAAATATAACCACGTTGGTTAACTTTCTTATTATCATCACAACCCCATAGAAAAATATATCTTTCCGTTAGTTAGGTCCATACAGATGTCTCTAAAAATGTAGACTCATTGTAAATTAGTTCTCTGTGAATTCTGGTCTTAAAAAATATTCATGCTGCACCAGTCATGCATAAGTAGACCATTTTATATAAAGGAATTTAACAGGAGAGAGAGAAAGTGAACTGCGTCATAACAGCATTGCATTGTGATGGGCTGCACTGGATGGTGTGTCATTGTGATGGGCTGCACTGGATGGTGTGTCATTGTGATGTGCTGCACGGGATGGTGTGTCATTGTGATGTGCTGCACGGGATGGTGTGTCATTGTGATGTGCTGCACTGGATGGTGTGTCATTGTGATGTGCTGCACTTGATGGTGTGTCATTGTCACGTGCTGCACTGGATGGTGTGTCATTGTGTATGTGCTGCACTTGATGAATGATGTGTCCATCAGAACTTGATGAATCATGTGTATGTCAGTGCTTGATGAATGATGAGTATATTGGTAATTGATGATTGATTTTTACATCAGAGCTTGGTTACTGATGTGTAGGTAAGCAGTTGATGATGATGCCTTTAAAGCTATTTGTTAACAAACCAATTTACAATGACTAAAAATCCCAAGATTGAAAACAAACATTTTATCAAGTTGTAAAAAAACATGTTTCCATTTTCAACGTAGACACACGTACATCTGTGCTGCTTTAAAAAAATGCACAAACGTTACCTCTAAAATTAATCTTAACAAACGTACATCTGTGCTGCTTTAAAAAAATGCACAAACGTTACCTCTAAAATTAATCTTAACCCTTAAGATTTCAATGGTTTCATTCAATTCACTGATAAAAATCACCTTTTTTTTTTTTTTTTTTTTTTTTTTACGTTTTAAAAATTAGATCAAAATTGGTTGTGCAGGAAATTTAATTCATTTACCAGATGAGAAAGACTTTCATTTTCATCATTTATAACTTGATGATTAGGCTGAAAGCAAAAAATTGACAAAGCTGGCATATTATACCTTATCCACTTACAATAAATTAGCTATCATCACGTAAGCCGCACTGTCGTCCCTCTGCTACGCTATATTTTTGGACAATTTAAACGAGCACAGCTTCCTCCTGGATATGAAATGATAGTACAGGAAGAGTATGATGAGCGTGCTCATGACGTAAAATATTATACACATACTCAAGTCGAGCTGGGTCAGCCCCCAGCCAGTGAGAAAATTACTGCCGAAACTGACCGACTTCATGTTGGATCCGTTTCCCTCTACACTCATGTGATGCCGTCGCTTCTCTAGTTTCCACACTTCCAACAGCCTCACCTGCTTCAGGTCATCCTTATTTTGTTTCTTCTCCCACCAATCCAGCACCTTGTGGTGGGTCAGTGTCCTGACATCTAGGCCGGTTTCCCGAAACACTTCTTGGGCACCAAGAAGGTTGATGGAGAAGACAATGTTTTTTTCAGAGTAAAACTGCAGCAGAAACTCCAGCACCTTGTCTACGTCCCAGGACAGGGACATTCCTTGATCCGATTTTATCATTTTATTACAGAGTTGACACAGGTGCTCGGGGGGGAAATGAACTTTTGGATGATCAGGATCTTCTGATGCATCGCCCTGGAGTCTCTTGTTGGCTTTGTTGTGCGCGCTCCACAGCCAGAGGACCGAATCTTTATGGGATTTCACTTCATCTGCAATGGTTGCAGCCATGGAGAGAAAATTTCTGGAACATTCTGAACAGCCAAAGAAGTATTCCATGTAGCCCTTGACAGCAAGTAACACTTCTTGAGGGTTGTCTTTTCCTGAAAAATATGGTGCAAACAAACTTTATAAAGCTAAATGTGATATACGATGATATATGTGGGGGACTGTGTTCAAGCCATTGAAGTAAATAATTGGTGGAACAAGATATCTATAGGCTTTCTTTAGATATTCCTGTTTTCTTTCAAGCCACAAGATATCTTTGTTGGTTACCAGAAATTTCTTTGAAAGAAATTTAGTCAATGGAAAAAAAAACCACTCAGCATACCCTAAAGTGCAACACCACGAACCAACTTTGCGATCTGACCTCACGGCTTAAAACTCACAAAAACACTCTCACGATCAACAACTCCCCCTACCGAATTTCACAACAATCTAGTTCACAACATGTGGTATAAAGCAAGATGTGACGTTGACTTACTGTTGCCAGAGTTCTGGTGGAAGGCCTCAACAGTCAGGACATGAAATAATGTCCACATACCACATGGATAGCCACGGTACTGGGGAGAGCTGCCTTCACATGACTCCCATCTAACCACCTCAGGTAAGAAACTGTCTTTACTCTACAACATCAGAGAGAAACAATTCAAATAAGGAATATTGATTCTTAACACCGGTACAATTAAATGTTACATTCTTAGCCTACTGTCACAGACATGTATATGTGAACAAGTAATGTGGTTAATATTTCTTGTGTGACAGTGTTGGGACTTGGGAGGAACAGGCCATTCAGAGTGTTGGTTGAATAAAGGAGTTTGTTTTGGAATGGAGAGAAGAATGGCAGAATGAACAGAGACCGTTGACATTGTCGAGATTTTGTTGATAACATTATCAAGCAAAAGAAGATTATGTTATGTAGAAGTTTAATAGCAACTGAAATTCGTGTTATATAATTCCAAGTATCTTCATATTTTGTGAAACATATTTATTATTGCAAATGTCAATATTAAAATCAGTCGCTATTTGAACCCACATTGTCTCAGTATTATTTATAATGATATATGATAAGGACACCTGTCACAAATTTAGTTCGCATGACTCCGTTGTCTAGGGCAAATAATTTAAACACACTGTCACTGTACACAAAGACTTGACACAAAGTTCTTTGCCGTTATTATTAATGAGCTTTTATTCTACTACCTTCTACACTGATCCGGTCAGCATCCTACCCACTCGCTCTCCCCTTCTCTACTGACCAACTGACCACTACTACCGTAATAACCCTTTTAGTATCCAATTCCTTTATGGTATTCCTAAGCCTATAATCCGATACGCATTCAGGCACAACACAGACTCTCAGGGATTCTTACACCTTGATAACACCAACATTTATTCTAACAAATTAATTGAAAAAAAGAGGAGCTTAATTTTGATCAATAACTGAATCACAAACATCTACACTGAACAGCTGTGTTGTGTGGTCATGAGATGTACTGAACAGCTGTGTTGTGTGGTAATGAAATACACTGAACAGCTGTATTGTGTGGTCATGAGACACACTGAACAGCTGTGTTGTGTGGTCATGAGATACACTGAACAGCTGTATTGTGTGGTCATGAGATACACTGAACAGCTGTATTGTGTGGTCATGAGATACACTGAACGGCTGTATTGTGTGGTCATGAGAGAACTTCTCACAAAGAATTTCTGTTCACTTATAGTACCGGCGCAACAATCCATTTTGAGTCTACATGCACTTTTTTTATATGTACAACGATAAGACATTTCAAGCATCTCTTCTTGACATCAGTACCACAGACATTGTCACAGGTTCTGAAGGAGCGCCACATGCAAGAGCCCAGGGCGTGGGCAAGTTCAACAAACACTGATCAAAATTAGATTTAGAACAAAAGTGTGTCTGCTTATTCTGCAAAAAATAAAATGATATGGATTTGTGTCATGGTGGACATGGATTTGTGGCATGATGGACATGGATTTGTGTCACAATGGATATGGATTTGTGTCACAGTGGACATGGATTTGTGTCACGGTGGACATGGATTTGTGTCACGGTGGGCATGGATTTGTGTCATGGTGAACATAGATTTGTGTCATGGTGAACATAGATTTGTGTCATGGTGAACATTTATTTTTGTCATGGTGGACATGGATTAGTGTCATGGTGGACATGGATTAGTGTCACAGAGGACATGGATTTGTGTCATGGTGAACATAGATTTGAGTCATGGTGAACATAGATTTGTGTCATGGTGAACATTTATTTTTGTCATGGTGGACATGGATTAGTGTCATGGTGGACATGGATTAGTGTCACAGAGGACATGGATTTGTGTCACGGTGAACATTTATTTTTGTCATGGTGGACATGGATTAGTGTCATGGTGGAAATGGATTAGTATCATGGTGGACATGGATTAGTGTCACGGTAGACATGGATTAGTGTCATGGTAGACATGGATTAGTGTCACGGTGGACATGGATTTGTGTCACGGTAGACATGGATTAGTGTCACGGTGGACATGGATTAGTGTCACGGTAGACATGGATTAGTGTCATGGTAGACATGGATTAGTGTCACGGTGGACATGGATTTGTGTCACGGTAGACATGGATTAGTGTCACGGTGGACATGGATTAGTGTCACGGTGTACTGAGTATCAATTGTAATAAATCTTACTTGAATGCTGTCCAGTTTATTCATCCACTCTTCTCCTGACATGTTTTTGGCCTCATGGGTGTTAAGCATGTTGTAGACTTTGTTTAAAAATTTCAAGACAGGCTCCCTACCAGGAAGATACTTAAATAGCAAGAAAATTGCAAGTGTTAGAAATTATATAACATTCAGCTTCGAGGGAATAGTTAGGCAGTCGGTAGATCTACCAGCAAAACATATTAATATAACTTTATCAAGTGACAAAAAATATTAATACAACTTTATCAAGACATGAACAAAATAGGCCACATTAACATACCTTTTCTAGGACATGGACAAACTCCTTAAGTGCAGACAGCCTATCCTTATCAATGGATTTTTTTATAGCCACTTCCTGCCTAAGACTGTAGTGAATGGCCGACTCCAAATCTTGCATGCTGACCTTTGAACTGAGAATTGAAAAAATAAAAACAATTCTTTGTTAGAGTTTTAGGGATTATGTAACTTTTCAAAACTATTTAAAAAAAAAAACAACAGTGACATTATTGTATCAACAAAAAATGCCATTATAAATTATTACCATTTTTTTAAATTAACTAAACTTTTCACCTGTTAGTTTTAGGAAAAGGACCATCCCTTTGACCTTCAACCTCTTGCAACTTAGACTGACTTCCTCCAGTTGGCTGCTTCAGTTTGGCTCCCCCTGAAAGCCCTTGGATTACCTTAGCAAACAGCTTACGATCTTCATCATTGCTCTTAATACCCCTGGAAGAATTTGAAAAGGTCATTTTGGGACAAGAAAAAATATGTTTTAAATTTTAAACATAAACAACAAAACCAAAAGTCTGTTCGAAGTTCATTGGATCAAAAGGGGGAGGGGGGAAGAGCTTTCGTTGAATTATCTTACGCTCACCAACTTGAAAATTTGCTTTCCAGGTTGAGCCAAACATTAAGTTGCTCCGTATTCCAAAATATTCTATTACCATTAGTTCTGTCAAATTACTTCCCAAATAAAATAAAAACCCTTGTAACCATTGTGTATATAGTACAGTAGCAGTTGTCCCGAGACTTACCTTATAACTCTATTTCTAGTACTAGAAATATAATAAATTAGCAGTTGTCCCGAGACTTACCTTATAACTCTATTTCTAGTACTAGAAATATAATAAATTAGCAGTTGTCCTGAGACTTACACTAGCTTTCTTTTTCTAGTCTATAGTAAAGTAGCAGTTGTCCTGAGACTTACATTAGCATTCTATTTCTAGTATAAAGTAGCAGTTATTCCTATTTTACTTACACTGCCAAAACTGTGTACGTGGAGTCCTGGTTGACCTTATATAGGCTTGGAAATTTATTTATCCCATACTTGGTCACAGAATCCTTCACCATAGTTCTGAGCAACACATTGTTCAGACTTTTCACATCTAGCATAACCTGCACGAAGATTTTACGAATGTCTTTTTGATGATACAATTTTAAATATCAATAATATTATATTTACTTTTAGGTTAAGATCACCGGCTGCATGAGAGCTGGGACTGCTTGATGACTGGGAAAACAGTTGATTCTCCATAAAAAAAAACAAGCTTCACAGCTTGACCAAACATTTCCGGTGAAAGTAAACATGGCCCCCAAAAAACCCCCTAAAAAAAAAATCAAGCCTACAATTTTAATATTTTAAACTGTAAAGTCATTTCAATTAACATCTCTTTTCTTCAAATTTAATAGATTCTTTCTTAAAAGGCATAACATATATATATGCAACTCACTTCTTTTCCTAGGATTGAATCAGCCTCCTCAAATATAAGTAAGACATGCTTGTGGGAGTCTTTTTTCTCCTGCCAAATATCTTCAATATTACTGTAAGAGATATTTGGTTTATCATTAAATATACATGCAAAAATTTCTTTCCTCACCAAAAAACAAACTATAGCAAGTTATTAAAAATGTAACTTTCCCACCTATATGATTAGGATTTTAAACTCAAAAAGTTTTTTAAAGTATAAAAATATAAGATTTTGTATTTGTTTATTTTCCAGACAAAATAAGCTTAGAAACTATTTTATGTTACAAGCCAAACTTACGCTAAAGGTTTAAGATTTGGCCATGAATCTGTGGGGTTGTTTGCCAGGACCTCAAATAATTTGGTTTTAATACCAATTAGTTCCCGAGCTTTAAGTTCTATTCCACTCTTAGCTCGCTTTGAACTGTAAACAGGTGGGAAAATCTGAAGGGAAAGAAGAGAAAGCTAAATTTGCTATAACAATTGCATAATTAATTTCATTTTCAGAATATTTTAAGATAATTACATATAATATTATATTTATTTCATCAAAGGTACATAGAACACAACTATTGCTTTAAATCTATAAAACAGTGATGATATTTTGGTTTAAAGTAAAAACTACCTTTATTGTTGGATAATATTCCACTTCAAAATCCCTGCATGCCTCGAGATTAACTTTCTGTGAACAGTCTAAAGCTGCAATTCCTATTATGTCACGCCACTCTGAAACAAAACGGATGTTCAAATGGGGGGGGGGAGTAATATTACATCTTATTTTTAAAAATAACATAAAACAAAATGGTTTTATAAATTCATATAATGAAAGCAATTAATTACAAAAAATGGACAAGCTACAGCTATTAATTTTTATACACATTTATTTGTAACTTGTTTTTCCAGATTAAAAAATGTGTTCATATTGGCTTATTTGGAGGTTACTTAAAATGTTGCAGCAAGTAAAAAAAAAATGTTTTTCCCCACTCCAATGTATGCTAATCATAAAATGGTCATTAAAAAAAAAGAAAAATTTATTGCTAGAATGAAATCTTTAATAAATGACTAATAAAACAGTTATTTCTTATGCCAATGGATGTAAATTTAAAAAATAAAACTAAATGAAATTCAATTTGAATGCACATCAGAATATCTTAGAGACATCCTATTAAAAAAAAACATTTAACATGTTTCTGTTGTCAGCTAATGTGAAGGTTAAAGGATATGCTTGGAAATCAATCATTTGCTAAAAAAAAAACTGTTAACAGTGAGTTGCTTACTTTGAAAAAGAAAATTACCTCATTAATTTGGTTGCTATAAAATGTTTCATGTGGGCATGGGTTTAAAATTTAACTGGACTATAGAGTAGTCTAGTTACTGGTACTATCTTAGTTAACATACTATCCATTTCTGATTTTCACTAAGAGAAAGAGAGTTATTTTTTTTTTTAGTTTATGAAATTTTTTTTTAATTAAAGAAAGTACCATAGCATATTCCCCATTTTATCTGTAATTTCTTTTTATTAGGTACAGGGTACAATTCCTGCCTGGATTCACCCGAGTTTGTTCCTAGGTGTATGTCATGGTGGGAAAGATACAAAACATTTTTTCAATGAGTTCATTATTTAAATATCAATTTAACTTTAAGCTACCTGATCTGGGAGGTTTTTAAAAATGAGAGATATTATCTATGGTTACCTAAGACATTCAACTTATTTCATGTCAGAATGTTCTGTGCAAATTTCACTAGTCAAGTGTAGAGAGGCTAGAGCATCAGCATTACAGGGGAGCTCACAGTATGTGCATTTTGCTTTTTTACTATACTCGGTCAGACATAAATTTATTTCACATGTTTGATGTGTCTATGACTATGTCCCTCAAAATCTTATTGCGCTAGCCTATCTATAGTCAATTATTAGGTTATAAAATATGTAAAGGGGCCATCCATGATAAATGATCTCACTTATTGGGGGGGGGGGTGAGGAGAATTTGTGGCAATGTGTGATAAAAGTGTGCGACATATGTATCAAATTTGTGGTGAGTTGGGGGGGGGGGGAGTAGGCCAAATGTTACAAATTTGTGAGGGTTTACAAATTTTGTTTAAAAAAAGGGCTAAAATAGATGTTCCCGAGATGTTCCATGCTAATTTATAGTAAAACTTGTAAGCCCTTTGGCTAAAACTTAATACAGGTATTCAGAGTAAGTTATATAGTAAGTAAATTCAATAATCATATGAATAAAGAATGATAATTAACCCTCTTGAGAGAATTGGGCTGATCTATTGGCCCAAGAGTCAAATGGTGAAAAAGACCATCTGCCCAATAATATACAAGCTTTGAGATAGGCTGGCCTGTTCATACAGGTATATGAGTTTTAATAGCAGCTACTGTTGATAATTTATGGTGTTCTGTAATTTTATATCTTTTTTTTTATTTACCAAGAGATCCAAGCATAAATACTTTATGCAGTTTTTCAAATTGATTCACATTTTTGTTATGACCTATATAAGCCTAACTTCAAATATCAGAAAATTCACTTAAGTTCTGCAAGTCAGACATGATTATTATAGGTGTAAAAAAATTATTTAAAATGTATTATTTATGATGCAAATCAAAATATCTCATTTACAATAAATTTTGAGATTTTAGTTTGATTTATAAAGATTGTTACTAAATGTTACACTTCATTCAATTTCCTACGAGAATATAAAGTTTTATGTTACTAAATTAATTCTTAATTTTAAAAAAAAATATTTATCAAAGCAAGTGCAGAAATGTGAAATCAGAAAAGGGCTCAGTCTTTTGGGACTAAAAGTCCAACAAAGCTCACCCTCAAGAGGGTTATAATGAAGTTGTCATTTAGTGTTATTTTGCTTAGCCTGCAGCTTAGCCCCTACATTTTTCATTTCAACTTAGGCTATTTGAACTTGGGTCCCTTTAGACTAAATGCAATGGCTATTATGTCATTTGTAGTAGTTTATTTTAGTTAAACTGAAGAAGTAAGTTTACAAACATATTATCATATGTGATGATTTAGTCCATTCAATTATCTTTCATTTAATTTGATACAAAATTTTGTCTTACAATTACAAAGCCAACAATAATATTTTTAATATTTTTTAATCCCAACCTCTCACTTCTGATACCCAGTCCCAATAGCCACTAGGTATTCATTCAACTTATGTCATGTCTTATTTTAAGTACACCACTTCCTCAGACTTCCTGGCCTCCTACTCGCCATTGAGCCCATTGTCTATCTACTCTATCATCTATACCGACAATGCCCTATCCTAATTTAATATAAGAATAAAATGTATAGTTAAAAGTTCCTTACCTTTCAAATCTGTAGCTACTTTCTTCCAGACAGGTGCGAAATTTACACAATGACCACACCAGCTGTTATAAAACTCTACAACCCAAACTTTATTGTTCGGTTTGGTCTGTATGACTAAATTTTGTAGTGTTTCGTTGTTTAATGGCAACACATCATCATCTTCGGTGTCAAAAAGTCCATCTTTAATGCCCAAAATGAAACTCAAAGCGAGGAATATTATAAAAAGCCTCAGCATGTTAATAATTATTAGTCTTACGACAACAGCTGGTGTAGAAATCCCATTGTCTCCTTCGTGAGTTTACGATCTACTCACTCTGACACGTATTTCAACCATTGGTTTGTTTACTTAATGAAACCTAGTGACAGATTTTAAAAAGCAACGGAAATAGATATATAAGGGGTGTAAGAATTGAATAGCTATTTCGCTTCGGCTTATTTTTATTTAAATTTCATAATTGTTTCAATATTTTAGACCTACAAAATATTAATATTATATTTTTAATAAATGTTATCTTAAAAAATAATGCAATTTACAATAGATAACAATGTAATTTTAATTAATAATTTGTTAAAGCCTTTAATAAAGGTTCTATTTTTTTAGACAAAATGTTCTCTTAAATGTCTTTAAAAAAATGTATATAATGTGGGTTTCTAAAGGTCAATTATTTATATAAATTTTAATAAAATTCAATGCAATACCAGCATTATTTTAAACATATAATTTTATATTATGGCTTCAGCGTTTATTTAATAATAATATCCACGGGCCTACAATTTTATATATTATGTGAGCGAATTTAGGATAACTATTTTAGGCTTTAGACTTTAGGCAAACTTTTCCAACTAGATTTAACCAGAAGTAAAATAACACCCAAACTGTTATAAGAATAGGAAACGTTTTCACTTTAAAACCAATTCATGGTTCATTGCGACAAAAGAGTGGGGAGAACCGGTGGAGGTCCCTGCGGTAGGCTAACATTCTATTATGTCAAGCCAGCAACAAAAGAATGTTGTTAATTTGTAAAACTTTGTGGGTTTTTTTTGTTGGTTTTTTGTTTTGTTTTTTTTATTGTGTGTGTGTGTGTGTGTGTGTGTGTGTGTGAGAGAGAGAGAGAGAGAGAGAGAGAGTGTGTGTGTGTGCATAAAGGACATTTGCTTTCCATTAGGCTGAAGGTAAACTGAAAAGAAGCCATTTTTTAAATGTTTTTTTTTCTTCTTTTCTTTAAAATGTCCGAAGCCATTTTAATTTGGTTATGGATGGTTGTATGTATTTGTGGATGCAGGAGCTAAGTATTTCTTTTGTGAAGGTGGGGTGGGCTCAGAGGATCGGGGCTTGAGTGGACCCCGTATATTATCATCCGCTCTTCTCTAGTGGTGTTTTTGACACTGTTTTATCTTAAGTTTTGGGAAAATGTGGGTATACAAAATATATTTATATATAGCCTAACCTTAAAGCCCATAATTTGGTCCTCTTTGAATGAGTTGGATCAGGAAGAAAAGGATGTTTTATATTATCGGGGAAAGTAGTCTTCCGGGCAATAACTCATTGAATGACTAGATGTTAGATTGTGTAGTCATCATCAGTGGCAGTATATGGCCCTGTAGCCCCCATGACAGGTATTCGTCTTTGAATAACAAGTTCTTTGTCTATGTCCTTGATGTTGCTGGATGACCTGGCTTCTACCCACCTCCAGCCCAACCTGTTATATATATATATATACACATATAAATGTTTGGGAAAACAGAAACCTCCCTTCTGTACAGCCAGTGATACATACATCATCAACCAGTTACCACTCGTACTCACACATTACATTCATTCAGTTCATTGGTTGTCGATTTGTTTCTTCTTCAATTGTGTTTATTCAAAATTCAAACGCATAAAAAGGAACAAATCACACACGACTTCTTACTACTAACACGACTAGCGAAACATGCGTCATTACCTAGAACTTGAGCCAGGACAACTTTTGCCTCACAACTACTAATCACTCTTAGGGCCATCTACAAATTATAACGACATAGATTTAGGGGGCGGGGCAGTGGTTCGGTACTTGGCAACAACCGGTTTCGGTACTTGGCAACAACCGGTTCGGTACTTGGCAACAACCGGTTCGGTATTTGGCAACAACCGGTTCGGACTTGGCAACAACCGGTTCGGTACTTGGCAACAACCGGTCAGGTACTTGGCAACAACCGGTTCGGTACTTGGCAACAACAGGTGAGGTACGTCAATGTTTTTTTTTTGTTTTTTTTATGTTGTTTTTATCATGGTGACAACTTTAACATAGTCAAACTTTAACAACCGGTTCCACTGGACCGGCCCCAGCACAAAACAAGGGGGGGGGGGACATATTTGTGAAAATGTGTGACCCAGTTGCTTAGGAAGGGGGGTTCGGAGGGATAGGTACTCCCGGGGGCGTTGTCACTTTTTTTAAACCTTTATATTGAGGGGGGGGGGTGAGATTGTTAGCGAACTGGAGAGAGTTTTATTTTTCGTTGGAAAAGGTGCGGGAAAACACTTGGTCCCCCCCCCCCGGGTGGCATTAACACTCGAGACGCCACTGTGTGTGACGAAGGTGTCTAAAATTTATCTTAGGATTTGTGAGGATGGGGCCGGGGGTTATAAATCGCCCAAGATAGCGCCACTAACAACATACGGGTCGAAACAGGATAATATGGTTTATCAACTACAACTTGAACAAGAAGCAGGGACGTTCCGCACACAGATTGCTATACGCACATATACACACATCAATCATAATCTAGAATGAGGGACGTGTTGCTGGAGGTCTTGTCCTGACTCTTCTTCTCCCAGTCAAACCTCTGGGCGATGAGCTTAAACAGTCTCTCATTGTGGGGCCTGTAGAAGGCGTACAGCATCTCCTCGTCGGCTTTCGGAAGGTCCGGATGTTTCACGCCTTTGAATTTGTTCATACATTTGGGCTGCGCCTGCGCGTCAAACCTCTTGAAGCAGTAAAAACCCCAGGTCGCGTTCAAGTAGAAGTTGTCCTCTGACAGCATCGGCGGAAGCTTGAGGAACTTCTCCACCCTTTTCAGTATGCGCAAGGGGTCAGAGGTCAAGGTCTCGTCGTCGAGGACGAGCAGCTGCTCGCGCGGGAAGTTGTGGAACCACGGCAACAAGAACCTGTAGTACACACCGATGTTGACGGCGTTGATGGTCGGGTCAAATCTGTTGGTGGTCTTGTTGATGTATATCGTCCTAAGGGGAGGGCGTTCTCGGGAATCCTTGAACCGATATCTGAAAAGGGTTTTTATAGACATAGAATAGAAAGCTTTCATGATGACCTATAATTTCCCTTTGAATTTTAATTCAGATGAAAACAAATAAATGTAGGTCATGCGTTTTAAGAATGTTATGTGTTATTTTTACCACGTGATGTAGAACATCGCCCCCCCCCAAAAAAAAAAAATGAAGGGTAAACACGTGCACATTGAAGGGAACACACGTGCACACTGAAGGTAACACACGTGCACTTTGAAGGCGACACACATGTACACTGACGGGGACACGCATGCATCCTGAAGTAATAACACTATAGCTACTCCACTGAAATCCCCTAGCCTGATCAGGCCCATTCTTAGGCATACGCTGACTACACATGAGCTACATAGGGGCTAAGGAGAAGGCAACGGAAATCTAATTAAAAAAAAAAAATTCTTCCAAAAGCTCATTTGGAAAAGAAAACAAAAACGAAAAAAAAAACCACCAACACAACCCTCATATAATATTAGGGGCAATGAAATGCTAATTGTTAAAAGGGACGCCCCTGCATATTTTGAAAAGTCTGCGCTCCTTTAAAAGGTTGTTTCCGTTGAACATTTAGTTCCATACAGAAATACGGCAGGGATGATGCTATTGGAATGAATTGAACTAAAGTAGAGGACACGCACCGCTGCAGGTAGGCAGAGACGAGGCGTTCGACAGGGTTACGGACCAGAATGATGAGCTTGATGTCAGGGAACTGGGCTGAAATCTCCTGGAGAGCTCTGCGGGAGCAGACGTAGTCCGGGGATTTCTCGATGGTGATCTGGTTGCTGTGGAGGAGATATCCCCATCAACATATCATCTTTTTACGACATATCATATTTTACGACATACATTTAAAAAATAATAATTCATGAATGAATTCTAAGCTTACTTTTCAAAATCCCCTCTCAAGGTCACCCTTGTTAAGGACAGGCCACCAGTGCACTCACCGTGTAATATAGCTCTGGTCATCTTCGCATGTGAAGGACGAACAACAATAAACAATAAGGTACGCATAGCCGCTATTCGGACCCGGGTCCCTTAAGACTAAATGCCATTCGCATGTCCTTTTTAGTAGTTTATTTTAGAAAAAAAAAAAATGAAGTAAATTAACAAACATATAGTCCATTCAATTATCTTTCATTTGATACCAAATTTTGTCTTACAAACCCAACAATAATATTTTGATTATTTTTTAATCCCAACCTCTCACTTCTGACACCCGGGTCCGAATAGCCACTTCATAAAAAAGAAAGAATTGAAAACCGTTGCGTATGAATATGTATTTATCAAGTGTATAGAACTCTTTGTCACGTGACACATACTCCTATATGTTGTGTTGGTTTTATTGTATGTCATTCGCACCACTTCTTTATTTTCTCCTGTTTATGATTATGAATGTTCAAATGCAAGCAAGGCCACACACAAAATTAAAAATTAAACACAAATATTTTAAAATCATACTTTTTGAGAATGTTTCGTTTCGCTTCAAAAGTTGAAGAAATGTCTCTTTTTAAATGATTTTTTTTAAAGTTCTTTGGGGCCTCCTTATAATATTATATATTATTTAACATCGCCAAGCCGTGCCTACTCCTAGTTCGTAACTTCCAGTCAATACAATATTAGGGGGTATAAGATAATCAAAAATGTAGTGTGTCCGATTCCCGTACGATCCCACTCTATGGTCAGACGCGCGAAACTTGATGAAGCCGTTACACATGTCCAAGGTATAATCCGTGTCTTCAACAAATACAGATAAGGATGTGTATCAACAATGACCACTCCAATGGAAACCACACAAGAAACAAACACCGAAAATTAGGTGAGGTTGAAAAATCTAAACAAAAATTATTTGGCTCCTTGTGTGATTTTAAAATAAAATATCTAAGTAGGGGGGGGGGGGGGTCCATCAATAAAAGTAAAAAAAAAAAAAAAAAAAAAAAAAAAAAAAAATAGGGGGGGGTCCATCAATAGACGTAAAAAATAAAGAAAAAATAATAAAAATATAAAATTATTTGGCTCCTTGTGTGATTTTAAAATAAAATATCCAAGTAGGGGGGGTCCATCAATAGACGTAAAAAATAAAGAAAAAATAATAAAAATATAAAATTATTTGGCTCCTTGTGTGATTTTAAAATAAAATATCCGAGTAGGGGGGGTTCATCAATAGACGTAAAAAATAAAGAAAAAATAATAAAAATATAAAATTATTTATAATATAAACTTTTTTTTTTTTTTTTTTAAATTTTAATTTCAAAACGCTAAGCCTTTTTTTAAAAAAAATTTGAAGTTATAAATATATGAAAATTAAAATATAGATCCTTCAACGTGTAGTCTAATAAAACTTTGAATAACAGGACCTTTTTTAACGGAGGTAATAGTCTTAATAATATAGATTGACAAAAAGTGTCTCTATTTTTTAATGCCAAAATTAAGGGTGAAAGATGTATTTTCCTTTCTATGAAAGTTATCAAAGAGTTAATTTATTAGAATTTTTTTTTTTATGGTGAAAGAACATAATGCGAAAATATCTTTAAAGAGCGCCACAATTGGCGAAGAAAGAGACGCGGTTTGAATATGAGTCTAGAGATAAGATACATTTTGAATATGAGTCTAGAGACAAGAGACATAAGTCTAGAGGCAAGAGACAGTTTGAACATGAGTCTAGAGACAATAGACAGTTTAAATATGAGTCTAGAGGCAAGAGACAGTTTGAATATGAGTCTAGAGACAGTTTGAATATGAGTCTAGAGACAAGAGACAGTTTGAACATGAGTCTAGAGACAAGACAATTTGAACATGAGTCTAGAGACAATAGACAGTTTAAATATGAGTCTAGAGGCAAGAGACAGTTTGAATATGAGTCTAGAGACAGTTTGAATATGAGTCTAGAGACAAGAGACAGTTTGAACATGAGTCTAGAGACAAGACAATTTGAACATGAGTCTAGAGACAATAGACAGTTTAAATATGAGTCTAGAGGCAAGAGACAGCTTGAATATGAGTCTAGAGGCGAGACACAAACGACTCCTAAAGAATATTTCAGGACAGAATATCTCTTGTGGTTAGTAGACCAGGCGTTGGGATCCTTGAAGAAACGTTTCCAGGAACTGTAACAATACTTTGACATTTTGGGGCTGTCAGACTGGCTGCCTCCTCACTCAATCAAAGCATCGGCGAAAATGTCAGAGGAACAAACCCATCAAACACCAACCACCAGGGCCAAGCCCACACCGGAATTCTCACGTCACAATGACTTGCTACCCCCCCCCCCTCCCACGACTCCTTTGACTCCACTCACCTGTATGAAAAGGGCATCTCATTAAGATACCACTTATATCCCTTGGCGAACAGCTTATCTGACGTGTAAAAGTGCACCTCCGAGCCGTGGGCGGTGATGTAAGGGTGAATGGACAGGAAGGACAGCAGGGCTCGCGTGCCACATTTACCGAAGCCGATGATCAGGGCTTTCGGGAATCTCCTGATCGGGGCGTCGTTGGGGGGCGGGGAGAAATATTTAATGTTGGACGGGGCGGCGCCGGTTCGATTAAGGCCACCTTTTGCATCCGCCCGCGAGGTGTTGTTGTACGGCAGCGCGTTGTGGCTGCTCGTCGGTATGACAAAACTGTCGGTGTAGTAATCAGAGTCATCTTTGTTGACGTCACCCCGGACGAGAGCTCGCAGTTTGGTATCGAGAGTTTCGCCCACCCCACTTGACGTGTAGAACGGGATCTGCGACGTCATCCCCCACATCAAAGCACCGATGGAGACGATGGCTACAAAACCGAGAGATGGCAGCAGAGAAGAACACGTCCGACGCTTCAGCCTGGTCAACAATTTCATCTCCAAACAAATCCAGCTGTCTTCGAAACCAGTGTTAAAGTGTTGGATGTCCAGCTGTGGCGCCGGTCACATGATCGCATCCATCATGCTTTAATTCGTGGCTCGTGCGTTGAACAAAGTTTCGACCAATCGAACTTCCTTAAATTTTAAGAAGACCAACAGTATGATTAAGATTATTTTTTGTACAAATTATATAATAGGTTACACTAAGTTAGATTGTAACCCACGGATATCATTTAATTGTATTTTTATTGATACGTTTCACAACGTTCAGACGTCAAGTAAATTAAAACTCAACACAGTGTTCTCATGCAATGGGCAAAGCTATCTTGCACACAGGAAAGACGCTGCCAAATTCAGAATTTAGTTTCTACAACCACTTCCGACCGAAAATTGTAGGAGTCTAAGACTAATCCTTGCTGAGGGCGCCACGGGAGCTACGATCAAATCTAGTTAAGGGCGCCTAATAGGCTAAGGGCAGACCTTGCCGAGGGCACCTAAGAGGGTAACGACAGTCCTTGCCAAGGCCACCTAAGAGGTTAAGGAAATCCTTGCCGAGGGCATCTAAGAGGTTAAGGAAGTCCTTGCCGAGGGCGCCTAAGAGGTTAAGGAAGGCCTTGCCAAGGCCACCTAAGAGGTTAAGGAAGTCCTTGCCGAGGGCACCTAAGAGATTAACCGACAGTCCTTGTCGAGGGCACCTAAGGGGTTAAGGACAGTCCTTGTCAAGGGCACCTAAGAGGTTAAGGACAGTCCTTGTCGAGGGTACCTAAGAGTTTAAGGACAGTCCTTGTTTAGGGCACCTAAGAGGTTAAGGACAGTCCTTGTTGAGAGCTCCTAAGAGGTTAAGGACAGTCCTTGTTGGGGGCACCTAAGAGGTTAAGGACAGTCCTTGTTGAGGGCACCTAAGAGGTTAAGGATAGTCCTTGTTGAGGGCACTTAAGAGATTAAGAAAAGTTCTTGCCAAGGGCACTAAAACGGTAAGGACAGTCCTTGCGGAGGGGACCAATGAGCTGAATTTTCATAGCTAATTTTTCGATGGCTAGAAATGATGAACTATCGGAACAACTTTCACAAATATATAATTATAACAGATTGTAAACTAAGATTATTTTTAAAAATAATAATTTAAGCTCGATATTACCCGCAATTCCAACAAATCCTGCTCACGAAAGCCGTTTATCATAACACTGTCTAGCTGGTGTGCTGATGTTCTGAGACAGAATGAAGAGCCGTTTGGTGGACCGACGTTACTCATGTCTGACTATAAAATAAATCAACACTTCGGGTATGCCATTAAAATTAAGAGTGGGGGGGGGGGAGGGTTGGAAGTTGACTCGGTGGGCAGGGATTGTGGGGGGGTGGTTGTTACTGCTTTTTACAATAATTTTGTAGCTTAAAAGAAGTTATGCGAGTTTGAATCGAATGCGTTTTTTTTTTTACTTTAGGTATAACTATTATTGGTGTTACTATGGTTTGTGAGACTTAATTGTGTGTGTGTGTGTCTATGTGGGGCGGGGGGGGGGGG